GATTGTTTCTCGTACGGAACAAAAATGATTTTGCACGTTTCCTTTCACCTAATGCTCTGTTCACCTAGCAGTAAATAGGTACCCGGCAGTTAAGCAACATGTAATGCAATACCCCAAATTCTACCTAAAGCCCATATAAAGTTCTTTTAATTCTCTTACCACTATACTATAATAGTATATAGTATAAGAGTATAGTCTCTCTCTGTCCAAAGTTGGAGGCCAGATGCTTGTGGCTAGTCTCATCTAAATTTGCAGGGGTAATGGTCTGGGGCACAATAAATAAATGCACTCCCAGGTGATTTTAATGGAGTCAAGGGTAAAATATATAGTGTGTTTTCTGTCGAGCTTTTTGTGATTGCAATATATGTTCTGATCCATACGGTTGTTCCAGTGCTTAATACATTTTCTGAGAGGAGGGAGAGAGGGAGGGATAAAGGAGGAGGGGAAAAGGGGTTGGGATGAAGGGGAGATGGGAGTGAAGAGTGGAGATAAGGGTGGATAGAGGTGAAGAGACCCAGGTACCACTAGTAATCCTTTATATATAAAAATGTCTGTTGAAGGTTGGAGGGGGGGGGGTGGAGATGAGATGGATGGAAGAGTGGAGGGAGGGCAACGAAGAGGAGATGTTATACTCAAATTCTATGTCAGTTGAAATGTAACCAATCACAGGCAAGTAGGCCTCTGACGTCATGCCAGACAGAGGAGCACCAGCCATTGCTCCCAGCAGCCTCAGTTATCCTCACAGACTCTGAGTAGAAGGACCTCGGCTAGGCAGATATATACCTTGTTGTCTCATTCAATAAATATATACAGAAGCGACTACTGTGTCTACATTCTACCCGAACAAGGCAAACGAATAAAGAAAAGATGGATGATTGACAAAGATTAAGCCACCAAAGAGGTGGCACGGGCATGAATAGCCCGTAAGTGTTACAAAAGATGTAGGGGGAGGGAAGATTGGAGGAAAAGGGATGGTAAAGGGGGGGGGTTGGGAAGGAGGAATGGAAAGCGGGGGGTCCAGGGAAAAGAATGGGATGGAGTGATCAGGGGGGGGGGGGGAGACTAAGACACTGCCAGATACCCCTCCTAGTATAGATATAAATGGAAATTTCTGTCTGTTCAAGGTTGGAGACCTTGAGTCAGATCTTCCAGAACAGAGGGGAAGAGGGGTAAAGGGGAGGGAAGATGGAGGAAGAGGGATAAAGGGGAGGGAATAGGGGTAAAGAGTTGGAAAGAATGTAAAAGGGAGGAATAAATGGATTATCTTGGGCATTGCTGGGCACCCCCCTCCCCCACAGTATACTATAAATAAAATGCACAATCACATACTCACCCCCACCCTGCTGTGAAACAATCTGTCTTTCTATAAAATTGTATGCAGTAAAAAAACCCACTTACAGTACAACAGATTCTAATACTGAATGTGTAATATGGTAAGTTGACTTGTCTCATCACACTATTTTCCAAGCTGGACTCAACACCAAGAGCAGTTTACATGGTCTTTATTACAGCATATTCCTTATACCATATACTCCAGGTATTTGCATAAGTACACAGTGCCACTTCAGTTCTCAAGTCTACAAAGTTCTTACTAACTTCTATCCTAAATTTCCTATCTCACTACTACCATTACTTATAACGTTGCTTATCAAACTATTGTCTGGTGCGGTGATTTGCTTGTAAACAAAATTTGCAACAACAGTTCATGACAAAATTAGTTCACGATCACAAGATAAATTGCAAGAAAGAAAACAAATCTGAAACTTAATATTTCACTTCTGTACAAAAACACATTTGTGCTACAAATGTATATACAATACTGTATTATATTGCTATTAAATCTCTCTAAACCAGAGACACGTCTCCTCTTTACCAGCATCTAATTTCTGTGTCTTGTGGAGTCAGGCGACTAAAGAGTGCAAATTCTTCCCTCATGCACCAACAAAATTTGTCAGATCATAAACAGGACATTCAGTTTTGTACCTGGAGTGGGTTCTGGGAGTTTTTCTATTCCCAAATCTGGCCTGGGGGCCAGGCCAGTGTTGCCTAACTAGTGTGTATAAATCTTTGGCAAATGTACCAAGTGTTCCTTCAAGACTTTGGTATGAAGGCAGTCGAGATATCTAGATAATATTTCAGTACTTATGACATTACTGCCTTGATGAAGGAAAAAGTAAAGAACAAGGCATCAAGAATGAATTGAATATAAGGACTTTACTAATGTACTGCAATACTGTAATCCTGTTACAAAAAAAGACATTAACTCATGTTGCAAAATACTGGTTGACTTCAATTCCATAAAGCCAATTGAACACTTTTTTTTAAATGTCCGAGCAAACCAGCAGGCTTTTTTAGTGCAATAGGAAATCGCTGGAATATTCTTTACCACAAAACACTGCTTCTCTGATCCAATCTAGGGATGATATCATAAATGACAAAAATATATATGTTGAGTGTGGCTATGGTAAATGATCTCATGGATGAGAAAGGCGAGGAAGAAGGAAACAAAACTTCAGATATTTTAAAATATTAAAAAAGGAAGTAATTCACAACAAAGCTAAAGCTTGAATAAGGTACAGTTTATGAGACCAGAGGTTGGTAAGGATGTTGACCTGGAAAATGTTTGAGAATGTATACTACTGTGTGATACCAATGATCCAGGTAAAGGGATGATGACGGGGGAGGAGACTGCAGTGTGTTTTTCGCTCTAAGGATGAGGAAGAAGAGGGTTACAAGGTGGTCAAACCAAAATTTAAATATGGTTCCAATTTAAGCAGCATTGATGATCTTATTGATGCATGTTCACAGACTGATAATATACATACTGTATTTCAATACCAATGGCTGTCACACATGAGGCTTGCCAAATAATTATTCAAGTACAGTACTACAAATAAGTATTCAAGTACAGCATTCAAGAACTTTTCAAACTAGAGATGCTATACTAATGATGATACTCTTCAAGATGCTAGTGCTCTCTTAGAGTGGAATACTGCTGCACTTTGGAATACTTCAAATACAGCCCCTTTCATAGCAGGAGAAATTGCTGACCGGGAGAGCGTGCCGAGATCCTTTACTGCTAGAATCCACTATGTAAAACATCTAAATTATTGGGACCAACTAAAATGCCTAAATCTGTATGCTCTTGAGCGCAGGCGGGAGAGATGCATAATAATTTGCACATGGAAAATAGTAGAGGGGCTGGTCCCAAATCTGCACACAGAAATAACACCACATGAGACCAGAAGGCCTAGCAGGATGTGCAGAATACCTCCGTTGAAGAGCAGAGGTGCAATAGGTACCCTGAGAGAGAACTCTATCAACATCAGAGGCCCAAGACTGTTCAACACATTTCCACTACACATAAGGGACATAACTGTCCGACTCCTCGCAGTAATCAAGAGAGAATTCTTGAAACACCTCCAAAGGATACCCAATCAACAAGGCTGACTCGTACGTCAGCCTGCGAGCAGCCACGTCCAACAGCCTGGTTGACCAGTCCAGCAACGCCTGGGTGATGACCGGGCCGCGGGAATGCTAAGCCCCAAGACCAACTCAAGGTAAGTACGAGACTAGAAAATCGAGGACACAAATCCCTATACAGTGGAACCTTCGTTTACGAATGCTCCACTTTACAAATTTTTCTATTTATGAGCTCAATTTCTTAGAAAAACTTGACTCGGTTTACAAGCTTTGTCTCACTAGCCGAGTTTGTTGATACACGTATGGGTCGACCGAGCCCGCAGTTCCTGGTGGCATGGGCGAGGTGAGCTTCAGTTTACCAGTGCCTCCCGCCTAGTGACGATCGCACTTGAATTCTTTGTAAAGAATTTCATTGTTTTTCATTTTTGGGGGGTTTTGAACATAAATATAATTATTTTATATCACGCCATGTGTCCCAAGAAAGTCAGTGGTAAGGTTGAACCTAAGAAATAAATGAGAGGATGATGACAGAGGAAAAACAAGAGATCATTGAAAGTGAGACAATGTCTCACTGCAGACAAGTGTTAAAACATAGGGAAAAAACAAGTGTCTATAGACAGATTCTTAGTAAGACAAGCAAGCAGTGAGCCACAACCAGAGCTTAGTGGTATGCCTGCAAAATGTAAGAGAGTACCCCAGAAATGTCATCACTGCCTGACGTTATAATGGAAGGGTGGACTCCCCTTCCAAACCCTAACACCTCTCTCCCCCCCCCTCACCGTCTTCCATATGCCAACAAGAGTCATCAATATAGGTAAGATATAACTTGTACATAGTGTAGTACAAAATATTTGTAGTATTATGAATGAAATGTACTGTATTTTTTAGTTAATATTTTTGGGAGTGTGGAACGGATTAATCTAATTTACATTATTTCTTATGGAAAAATTTGTTTTGGTTTACGAATCGTGTCTGGGAACAGATTAAATTTGTAAACAGAGGTACCACTGTACATCATTTTGTGGTCAGAACTCCCAGTGAAGGATCAACAGTGGGTAAGGTCTCCAGGTAATCTGGTACTCAAAATTAAGGTTGCTAAGTTCATTCAAGTATGGCAGAGGTGGTTAACTTCGGTTTGGTAAGGGTGGTAAGTAGAGTTTGACTTTTTCATATTATTTAAATTTTAACTTGTGATGTACAATATTTTCAAACTAAAATAATTATTTGTAATTAATATACAAATTGCATACAGCATACAAATTCCTTCAGACATCACTCTTGGCTATTAAGGGGCTACAGGGCAGTGAGTTTTCACCACAAAAGTAACAATATTTTCCTCCATATTGTATTTTTTAAATTTTTTTTTAATATTAGTGAATGTTGAATTGTATCTGATAAAAAAGCAATAACTGCTGTAAAAAAATGAAATTGAGCAAATGCCAATACAACAGCATGTTTAATGAGGTCTTGTTGCAATTAGCCAATTTAGTTTACTGTTACAGAGCATGACACTAGTGGTAAAAAATTAAATTTCAGTAAATTATAAAATATTAAATATTTGACTGGCAGATACTCACCCCTTTGGTTATAGTAACGGGTATCCCGACGATCTCTGGTATCCCATCCACGTTGATAGAAATCTTTTTCCCTAGGATCTCTGGTATATGGGGCATCCTTGTCTCTAGGATCCGAGTCCCTCGAGTGGGAGTCCCGACGATCATGTCGAGCATAATAATCGTGTCGGGATCGATGAGAATGAACTGAGCGTTCACCATCATTGTCTAGGTTGTTGATACTACTAGATCGTGATACTGGTCGAGACCTAAAACAAATTTAAAATACAAAATTAAAATACCTTAATAAAATAATTAGCCTAACACTAAATCAAAAACTATAATACAGTATGTCCAATAACCAAATTAACAAAACACTATATTTATTTATACTGTATATGCAAGGCACCAACCTGTCTCCTCTTCCATAGTAAGGATCTTCATCAAAAGTCCTGTAATAATCTTTTGGCCTCTCACGATAATCATGGCGCTTGTCTCTAGAATGTGATCTTTCTTCTTCTTTTATGGGTCGATCACTATAACGGTCCAATTCATCCCTATATGCTCGTTCACGTCTATCTCGAGATTCGTAATATCTTCGATCACCATCCTCCTCTTCATCAGATTCTTTTCGCCAGCGTCTCCTGTCATCATCATACTTCCTATCATAGTCACGATCATAAGAACGCCTGCTGTGTGGAGAATCATCACGATAATAATCTCTATTATGCTCACGGCTCCCATCGCGATATTTATCATTTCTACTGTCTCTGTCACGAGAGTGGTCTCTTTCCCAACGACCACCCCTGTCAGCCCTGTGATCATTAGCTAAATCAGAACGGCTCCCAGAATTTGTTGTAGTGAAGTTACGTGATGTAGGTTCCTCTGAACCAATGGTCTCGCTTCTAATTGGTGGTATAACAGAAGCACCCGTACTCATTAAGTTACTGGTGTATGGTCCATCAGGTGGTGATCTTACTTCTGGTGGCTCCTGTTTTATTCGTACTGGTAGCACTGGTTGAGGGTTATCATTCCCCGTAACAACCCTTTCTGATGGCATGGATGGAACTATAGATGGAGCTTGATAAGTAGATACAGTAGTGGATTCACCTTTACTAGATTCCCCAGGAACCATACGGCTAAAATTTGGTCTGTCGCTTATATTTTGAGAGCCATCACCTCTAGGCTCAATTGTAGATCTTGAAGGCCGTGATAGATCTAAAACATGTGGTGCAGTAGGAATAGCAGACATGTTGGAAAGTGATAGAATTTTTGGTTTCACTACTGCAGCTTGTAAATTAGCACTATGAGCAGCTGGAGGTTCTGGATGAACAGTAGCAGCAGAATGTTGATTTGTGGGTGCATCTAGCTCAGTCTTTTCTTCCTTCACCATGCCAGATATTACTAAAGGAATGATGTTAGAAGACAGCTGAGACTTGGTTGAGGCAAATGTATCTACAGAGGGGGAAACAACAGCTAACTTAACATTAATTAACATGTCTTCAGAGGCAGACCAAAGAGGTACTCCAGTTTTTACTGGATCAGAGGGTTGTTCATTATTATCAGGAGTTGTTTCAAGATTAGCACTAACATCAGGAAAGGCTGGGCCAGGCACCGAAGTAACGGTACTGGTGGTAGCAGTTTGGGGTGAAGAGAAAAACTGTGATTGGTATGTTGCATCTGAGGCTATGCCAGGGGTAGACGGCTTCACAGAAGGGGGTTGGAAAGGACTACCTTTTCTTGCTTTTAAACTTGATACTACCCCAAGAGGTCCAGACACTGGTGGTGGGCCTACAGAATGGTTAGATGGGGAAGCTGTGCCATCTGTACTGAGATCTACAGAAGAATTTGTTTGCACAACAGTAGCACACTCCTCCTGCTGACCAATTTGACTGAGAGATGATCGACATGCAGGAATTTTAGACTTCTCTGCTAAAGGTACTTCCTGGTTCTGACTAATGAATGAATGTGTAGAATGTGCCGACTGTGTTGACCGAACAGAATGAATAGAATGCACAGAGTGAGCAGATTGGTTAGACGCTGGACGATCGGGAAAGATATGTGAAGATGGAGGACGAACAGGTTGAGAGGAAAGACAACCTGGTTGAGAGCTAACAGATTGAGAGGAGGATGGACGCTCAGATACCTGCTGGCCAGCACTCATTATTAAAGGCCTATAAACATCCTCTATATGGCTGCTTTCATCATCATCTGTGCCTGAAAACAAAATGTTCTTGATAAGGATGAGCAATTCTTAGGCACAATACTGAAAATATAATTAATTTCATATATCTATATCTATAAAATATAACTTGTGTATGGGCGTGTGTGTACAAATTAGGCCAGACACTTGAAAGTTGGGCGAGGCTAGCCCCAATGTGAAACATGTAGGTAAGGGAGTGTCACAGACCAGTCGAGGTTGACCCAAGTGCTATGCTTTAAAAAATATTGCCATCTATAGCAACCCCTTGTAATTTTAATGAAGTCTGAAATTAAATGGCAGATACTGTATGTTTTATTGGGGAACACCCCATCCATGCAGTGTAGGGACGTTGTAACACCATAAATGGATTTATCTAATATATTTAAAATCAATTACAGGGAAATTGTGTTGCCAGTCTGTCGGTCTTTGACAATTCAAAAGCCATATCTCAGAAGTGTTAATGTTCACACATTGGCCAGAGGTCAAGTCGTTTCAGACGACCTTGCCCTGTATTATTCTGCTAATTGCAGATGGTTGCCTTTATCTTTCCATCACACGAGCCGCCTTGTCTGGTGTGATAGTTAGGTAGCCGGGGGCTTGCTCCAGTAGGCAGGGCTTAGTCTTTGGTTCCTCCTTATAAGATGAGCAATTGTACATTGATATGGAGATAGAGTATTCTCACTTCACTTGAAAGGATTCAGCAGAAGCAGGCCAGAGCCTATACAGGCCTGCCTAGGCCACCGAGGGGCCTTGACCGACAACCATACCCCCCCTCTCTCCCCCTTCTATATATCTGTATTTTCCCTTTCACCTTTTCTCCTCCACCTCCCTTCCTCTAGCTCACTCTTCCTCTCCCTTCTCTCTTTCCTTTTCATTATAATGTTGGGGGAAAGGGGGGGGAGAGAGGGAAGGGGAAGAGCTCTACAAATTTCTTCAATTCTCCTCTTGAATTTCTTGAATCCAGCACATGAAAATCTTGAATCCAGCTCTTGAATTTCTTGAATTCAAGAATTCAATTTCTTGATAGACTGTACATCAGTGTTAATGATGTGCAGCCTATCACACCAGATAAGGAAACCAAGAAGGAAAGACAGAATGAGAATGGTGCAAGTGGAAAAGTTAGAGAATGAAAATGAAAAGTTTGTAAAGGTGCAATTAGTAGAAGAAACACGGCATGTATTTTGGCAAAGACCAATAATGCCAGATAGTGCCATTACCATGGAAGGTTGAAGTCAACTAGGTTGAGGTGGCAGTCAACTATCTAACCTTTCACAGCTGGCTATACTATTCATTCATTACGCTCAAAAGAATGATCATTGCTACTATAAATAATATATCGTGCATATAAATCCAAGATATAAAGGTACATCATTCATCAGAAATAATGAAATATGCATTTAGCAAATAGGCATAATACAAGGGACCTAAAACAACAAACAGAAGCAGCAACATTATGATATTAAAAGCAACAGGAACCTACCTACAACAGGAGGTACTTCAGGAATAGATGATGCCCCATCAGGAATTCTCGAGAAAAGGGGATCAGGCAGTGGAGTAATTAAGGTCGATGGATGTTGCACAATCTCTTGGTTCATATCCCGATGATGCTGGTAACTGTGACCTGCAACAGGTGGATGGGCTTCAGGCTGACCGAGAGGCTGAGATGATGTAGGTGGCTGAAAATGTTTTTCTTGTGGCAATACTTCAGGTTCATTTGGTGGCTTTATTGATGTAGGTTTAGGACTCAATGAAGGCAAGGGTTGATTTATTTGCTTCATATACTGATTTTGTGGCTCATATTGATGCTGCTGCTCTTGTCTTTGCTCATGCTCGGTTTGCTGAATAGAGGGATAATTCAAATGTAGCTCTTTGAGTGCTAGATCAACCTGACTGGTAGATTCTTGAGGTGCCTGCGGGTAACTATGTGGCACATACCCAATGTCATAATTTTGTGGAGACTCATAGCATTCAGTTCTTGATTGATTATGGGACTCTGAATCCAGTAAAACATTCTGTTCCAACAAAGAGTTATGTTGCAGCTCTTGCTGTGGAGCCTCAGTAAGAAAATGCCGATGTTGAAGTGTTTGTGGAGGAAGCTCCTGCAGGAGAGACTCGGTAGAAAGAGCAAGGGGTTCCTTGGGATCATGTGTATCTTCCGAAAGAGTTAGATTATCTACACCTTTTGTTACATATTCCATTTCACATTTGGAGTTATCAGAAGTACAGGTTTCATCCCTACTGGATAGTGGAGATGTGTCCTCCGATTTTGTAATTACAATTTCTTGATCCCATTCATCATCCCATCCACTTGACTGAGTCACAGCTCCACTACTGTAACCATCATGGTACTGCTGCTCTTCACTGGGCTTGTTTTCATTCCTTTCCTGAGCACGATGACTTTCTTCTTCTTCCGTGTGTGGTTGACGTTCTGCAGTATTCTGAGGATAAAAATCTGAATAACTATGTACAGGGGCAATAGATACATTCATCTCCCTATCTAGTGAATGCAGTTGTTCAAGCTGCCGAGTTTCATGTGAATGCACGTGTTCAGAATCAGGACAACTTTCCTGGCTATGCACTTCAGGCTTATTAGAAACTTTAATTACTTCATCTGGTTCCAGATGTGCTTCTGTCTCTCCCCAACCATCACCCCACCTGTCATCCAAAGTATTCAGCATGGCATGAGCTTCATGTTCACCTGACACAGTAGACTCTGCCATAAGTAAAGGAGCAACAGAACTTTCTAATGATGGGTTGTTAGTACTGGTGTTACTACTTTGAGTCTCCACTTGATGCATGGGGATGTTCTGTTGTTCTAAGATTGGCTGAGTCTCCAAATTTTTAACATACCCATCAGTTATTCTTTGCACATCATATGTCTCGATTGATTCCTGTTCCCAGTCATGCTTGACATGTTCCAACATTGTAGTACTACCTGATAAGGTAGAATAATTTTGAGGAACACTGGAGGTAGGTATGTAACTATCTTGTGTTGCTGTAAAATTATCAGGAACAGCAGTACCAGCATCATCTGAATGGTTACTAATATCTCTGTGACCCCAACCATCATCCCACGGTTGCTGCTGCTGCGGTTCCTGACATTCTGCCTTGTGTGCCTCGTCACCTTGATACGAAGCCGTTATCACCGAAGAGAAACCTCTTGCTTGTTCTTCAGGTGTTTGAATGTGTTGAATAGAATCTCTATTTGCTTTTATCCCATGGGCATGCTCTCCTTCCCAATCAGGCCATCCATCCCCAGCCGAATCTCTGCTGCTTGCAGTCCTCAGAGCTTCCGCACTACCCTGCTGTGGATGGTCATGGGGTTTTGCTTCACTAGGAATAGTCTGATTATTATTATTGTGTACTGCTTGAAGGTCCTTTTGCTGAATCTGGACGGGTTGCCAACTATCTGCAGTATTTTGAGATTTGGCAGGCTGCTCAGACTCTGAAGGTTGCCAAGACTCTGGAGGTTGCTGAGACTTGAGTGTGTCCAGAGACCCAGCAGGTTGCTGGGTCTCTGCTGGGTTGGTAAGTTGATGAATATTTTCTCGGTGCTCTGCCGTCTGTCCATTTACCTGCCAATCATCAATTCCCCAACCCCAATCCTCATCAACATATTGTTTAGTAGTCTCAGAATATTGTTGCTGCTGGTTATATTCTTGAAGAGAATTAAAGTTTTGCTGATATTCTTGCTGGGAATCCTGCGGATACTGGTTTTCAAATTGTTGCTGAAGATCTTGATTTAACTGCTGATGCACAGGCTCTTGATTTAACTGCTGATGCACAGGCTCTTGATTTAACTGCTGATGCACAGGCTCTTGATTTAACTGCTGATGCACAGGCTCTTGATTTAACTGCTGATGCACAGGCTCTTGATTTAACTGCTGATGCACAGGCTCTTGATTTAACTGTTGATGCACAGGCTCTTGCTTTAACTGTTGATGCACAGGCTCTTGATTTAACTGTTGATGCACAGGCTCTTGATTTAACTGTTGATGCACAGGCTCTTGATTTAACTGTTGATGTATTACAGTGTCTTTATTTAACTGTTGATGTACTACAGGATCTGGATTTAACTGCTGATGTGCATTCTCTTGTTGCTGTTGCAGAGGAAAATATTGATGGTGGTGGTATTCTTGGCGTTGTGACGGCTGCTGCTGCTGCTGCTGTTGTTGTGGATAACTTTGATGAGCCAGTTGCTGCTGCTGCTGTGGGTAGTTTTGATGAGCCAGTTGCTGCTGCTGCTGCTGCGGTTGTTGAGGGTAAACTTGACAAGTTGGTTGCTGCTGCTGATGTTCCTGGTAGCTGTGGTAATCCTGGTGTTGTTGCCGATTCTCTTGCTTGGCATAATTAGCTGGTTTATTATTATTATTGTTGTTGTTGTAGGGTTCTGCATTGCCCCAGTCATTACCCCAATTATCTGCACCCCAGTCATCAGTTCCCTGACCATTTTGTGCATTGCCATTGACATACTGCTGTTGCTGTAGTTGAGGCTGAGGATGTTGTGGATTATTTGTAGGAACACGATTCTCGTCAAGTGATGAAGCTGTACCAGTCACAGACGTACTACTGTATGTGTCATTTTGTGTTGCTTTAGAGAACTGATGCTGTGAAGTATACTGCAAATGTTGTGAATAAGCATGCTGCTGATCATACTGCTGCGATGGTTGCTGAGGATGACGCCGACTCAACAGTGGCTGTTGCTGCCGATGATTCACCTGCTGATACCGAGGATTATTGGCTTGATTTGCATTCCAAGACCAAGCATCTCCATCTCCCCAGTTCCATGCACCATCTGAACTATCACCTCCCCATCCTGAACCACTGTTTCCTGTTGGATACAGCTGCTGCTGTTGCTGCAGCTGTTCTTCAGGCTGTCTAGGCTGCTGAGTGGGACCAGACTGAGAAGGCGGAATAGATGCATTGTACTGTGATCCAACCAAGTTACCCTAAAAAGAAAAAAAGAAATAGTTTAACAATAACAAAATTACGTGGCATACCTTGCATAAATAAACCAAAGCTCACTGTAAATAATTACACTATATTTGTAATTAACTGATATTTTATAGTTGACACACACGTATAGGAAAATGCCCTGTCGAGAGCAAACTGTATTGAAAAGGACGTTTGCCTGCAAGAGTTTAATCAAATTTAGCAGGTGCATGGGCTAGCTATTCATAAAAGCAAAACAGTTAAAAGTGCAGGTGGGGTGGCACAAGATAGGCAAGGAATGACCAAGTGATAGTTTATATCTTATAATATAACTTATGTGTTGGCTAGCAATACAAAATTTTCCTCGAATCTGTTCAGAGATAATTGATGGTTGCATATTCTACACACCTTTACATTTTCTTTGATTTTTATGACGAGTATAAAAAGCTACATGTCTTGCATCAAAGTGCAAGACGTGTAGCTCCTGAAATGTGTTTAACACAAGTGTAGTTGGGATTAGCAACATAGCAGACATACTGTATTTATTTATATTCGAAAATTCTCACAAAGCTCTTTATTATTTCTCCCACATATCCTTTCTACTAGTTACTACTAGGCATTATGTACACCCATGCCACGGTGATTTTGTTGCTGTCACCTCTGCTTCTAATGAGGGCGTTGTCTCTACTGGACTTTGGGAGAACAATTAGTTTTTTTATTTCAGGTGTTAGTAATGATTGCTGTCTATCCTATTGGAAGAATAAGTTATTACTCCGGTTCTGTATAACTGATGCTACTGCCAATAATCATCACTGCTCACGTTCTGCATCTCTTTGTGAAATAAGCAGGGTATTTAATACTTGGGAAGAATTCATTGATATATTAACACCTCTTCAAGTAATTGCTTGCTACAAATCTTAAATGCTCTCAGAAGCAAGTTAATAATTATGCAGCTTTAGACTTATCATAGTGATTAAATGTTTCAAAAGCTGTATTTATTGATTAGTTTTCTGTTGACTCTAATCTTAAGAAAGACCTGTCACAAATCCCACAGAAATGACAATTGTAGAAATGATGGTCATCATTTGCCTCTTCTCAACCATCATCCCTAGCCTAGGAAACTTATGGACATAACTTAAACTAATAACAAAAAGAGTGTCTGGCACTTGCATACAAACAAGGTTTTGAAACTGTGGAGCATAATCATGAATAGTAAGTCAAGTTATCCTGGAAATTAAACCATTCACAATTACTGTAGTACCAATTATAACAGAAATGAGGCCATAAAGCCTAAAACTGCACCATTAACACTTTAGTGTTCCGCCCCCTAGCCATGTGCCCGAATGTAAACGTTCTGGACCTCTCAGGGGCTTGCTTAGCAATATCTAAATTCTTTATACTCTTAATATTTTCAAAGTTTTTTAATCAATTTTAATTTTCAATGTAAATAAAAAAATTAAACAGCAACTGGCAGAACAATTATCATCCGAGTGAAAGGGAGATTCGGAAATTCCAAAACATTTGAGGTAAATTACCGATGACGCTAACACTAATAAATCTAAGTCCGAACTAAACTCGGATCCAAATCACAACTACATACATGATTCATCCATCATCGAGTCACTCAAAATAGTCAAGTTGGTTTTCAAATCTCAGGCACTGAAAGTAATCACAATTAGGATTTCTGATCTGTCAAATTCTGAATTGAGAGGGGAAAAATATTAACTCTTTATTGTTACAGTATAATAATCTTTTATGTAATGGAGGATGCATTCAAAATGCTGAGCAGAATCCCTTTGCAATTCACTTTGTATTCCTCCTCAGAGGATACCGAGCAATAAGCTTGATAGCCACAACTGCCAATGAGCTAACCCTACATGGTTAGAATTCAGAAAACATTGGAACAATCTACAGCAAATTATTAGATTCCAAACAGCAGATAGCTCTTCAAACCCTAATTCATGAATGTGGTCCACCAAACTCTTTTTCAAGATTACAACTTTAGTGTGTGTTTGTTCTTACCCTAATCAAAGCACCTAACATAAAACCTACCAAGGTTAATATGCCGTATATATCTTCACATCCGCAATGATTCGGGTGGTTTACCTAGAGACCACCAATGACATTATCAAAGATTATACATCTCAATGAATCAAACTTTATGACGGGAAGCCTGCCCAGTAAATATTTTTCTAGGCACCCGAGTGAAAGAAAACTAACGTGATTGAAACCTCTGTCCAGCAGTGCACAAAAGAAGTACCCAAACATATACATGTTCAATTTCGGGATTAGTCACCAATATTAACTTCTGAAAGCAGATTTAAAAAAAAAAAAAATGCAAATTTAAAGAAAATTCCATGACCTGAGACTAAAGTAGACACCTGGATGCAAGACCTGCATATACAGTATGGTGAAACTGATGTGATCACATGACCATCCAAACTTTAATACAATTCAAAATTGGACAATATGATAATTATCATTGCAAATTTATATAAAAATTAACCACTTTATGGATCATTATTCAGAATTATTATTCTTAGGATAATTACCAATTGAGCTTGCTAAACAACTCTAGCCATACAAAACTAAATGCAGTGCAGAACTGTACCATGATGATTACAAGACATTTACATCAACATAGCCAGTAATAATCCAGGTAGTGCCTTGAAGGTAAACAATTATAAGAAAGAAGGCACCAGGCCAGGAAGCTTGTAGCACACAGTGCCTTGAAAACACTTATAAAATAATTATGATTAATGAACCGAAATAGATATTATCTAAAAAAAATAGCCAACTGCTGGTGCCTTTACGCCACTCTTCATACTCACACTAAAAGCGGCCCCCCCATGGTAAACACTTGCATCCATGAGTGACTACAAATTTTCTGTTTAATGTTACGTGTGTTTATAGACTGAATCAGTATCCAACGGTGAACTAGACCTTGTGAACGATCTGTGGATGTATAATTTGTCATATTAGGCCTATGCAGTCGACTTTATGACCTAAAATCCAATAACACTCGAATGATCTGGTCGTATTTACCTACTTTTGTACTACCATGCAATTATGCTTTCCATTCTTCAAGATAAAACAAATATGTATTAAAACATTATGGTACAGGTTGTATATGGGGCTGATCAGCTGCTTTAGGTGCTGAAATGTAAGGAATAGATGTATGAGGGGTAGGCAGTCCATGGGTAATAAATAATTAATACAAATACAATACAAGGAGACTAACTACTAACATGCCAGGTAAGTCCACTACGGGCTCACCATAGTCCGTGCTACTCGCCCCACTCCTGTGCCAGGTAAGTTACGAGCTCACCATAGCCCGTGCCACTTGGAACTTCTCCCGAATAGCTGAATATATAACAACAATAACACTAATAATTGATAACAAATTCATATGATAAAATCTTGAAAATCCCCATATTGGATATCAGAGTATTTTTTTATTGATAAATTTATATAAAAAAATGGCTCCCAAGGTGCTACATTAAAAAAGATCAACAGAAAGCTATGATAATTAATATTTATTGTATAATGTCCATATTGGCAAGCTCTCAAGATACAGTATTACACATAAAACTTCTAGAAAAAATCCTAATATAAGGTACTGTACCTCTCCATAGATTACATAATTAAATCCTTAAAGCCAACAGTGTCAGATAACAAATTTATGCATTAAACTTATAAACACCCCAAAAACTTTTGAAGTTACTCAAACATTTCTTGACATTTCGTCCAAAATGTAGCAAAATATTAAAACTGGAAACCTTAGAAAATTGGCTCAATCAAAACTATTTTCTGGGACGTAATTTCAACAGGGACTATCTAGAACAAATGATTATGGAATGTTTAAAATAGCTTTGGTGGTTACATTTTTGTTTCAGCAGCATAAGACCATGATAAACACTGCCCCCCCCCCCTCTTCCCTTTTCTACCATTCGAGAAAATGGTTAACAGGGCTACATGCCACAATTCCAAAAGGAAGCCATCTTTAAAGGATATACATAACAGTTTCAAACCAATGTCAATAGGCATCCTCAAGTTATTGTCAGTAAACAAAACCCTACTAAATTAAAACTACTGTATAAAGAATCCTCCAGCCAGAAATGCCTAAATACTGTACACAGAATGATACAGTACAGTATTATATTAACTCACAGTTTGCCGAGAGAAATCCGTTTGGCCTTGAAGAGATCTGGTGATGGAACTCGGACCTCCAACTTTATGGCCACCTCGTAAGCGCTGCCTAAACATTTCTCTGACCATCTGAAATAACAGGTCTAGGGAAATAATATGAACTTAATATGAAGGCCTGAAATTTTTTTTATTACATTAATATAGTTTAAAAAAAATAAAATAGTGGTTGCTCATGAATGGTATACAGTATATACTGCACACTTTCAGTTACTGTACTGTAACCAAAATATATATATATAATGTACTGTATTTGGACAAATATCATGTTGAATTAAGTTTAGGTTCAGGAACTATAGTCCATTCTTTATTTTTTAGACAGCCTGTATGAATATTTATAGTGTGTCTTTTGTAGCTGTTGATCCACTTTCTCTTTACGATAATTGTTTCAGTCACTTCTTGTCGTGATGCATGTAGCCCAGGTCTGTCAAGTGTTGTAAACTGAGCAACTTTAAGGGGCCCAGTGCATGTTGAGACTTTTCAAAATATGAAATATTGTATAGTGAAAAATTAAGAAAAAAATCTCCCGTCATTTGGCATCAGCATCGTGAAAATTTCATCCCAATTTGTTAAGAAATGGATTTTTTACGATTTTTTTTTAAATAAGTTTGTGTGTGACAGGAAGCAAACAGTACTGATAACAATAACACCACCTATTCACTGGCAATCAGGGATAAAGAGATGTAAGCACCTGCCCGACCCACAAGGAAGACAAGTAGTAGTAAGGAGGGTCTACAAAATGGATATGCCATTGGTGCCACCTGGAGGGCCAGATTTCACACATAATTATGAGCTAGTATGTTATTATGCTGTATTTTATTATATATCATATAAATACATTGCCCAATGATAGTATTTCTTATGTCACTTTGTACGAAAGCGTGACAACCACTTTTTTTCTCACTTCTTTGTTTTTATTCGGATTTTGCATATCATATAATAGCACATTTGCAATAACAAATGTCTTAGCGTAAATGACATTAGGCTATAGAGTATATTAATCATAAATTTATCAATTTTTAATTTGAAGAAGGAAAGGCTGAAGATGCACAGTGGATGTTTCCTTGTTTCCCAACAACCTAACTTCAGGTTTGATTAATATTTACTCTAACCTTAAACACCAAAAACTCACAGCAGAATGTTATCTTTCTGCAGAAAAATGAGTCGTCACATCAAGTTTATACATATTTTCTTTTCAATCACTTGATACTTATTCAATTTTTTCAAGATACAGTATATTAGCATTCGTCTAAATAAATACCTGTATTCTTCTGATAGTACTACACACACGATGTGCAAGTGATAAATAAAACCACCAATGTTAATCTAACACCAAATCATTTGAATCAATGTTAACATTAGTCCAGCATTACTGCAATAGCATGCACAAGTTGAGAATATATAGAGTTCAAAGATTTATCTTAGAATCTAGCCATAGGTGCCACACTAATTCATAGTAAACAACACATGACTATTTTTAAGAACACTTTCAATAAGTTGTTTTCAGAAAATTTATCTAATAAAATATTGTGTAGTACTGTTCATCAACAAAAATACAATTCTTGAGGGACATAAGAGTTGTCCAGTAATGTTATGAACACACCATCATAAAACTTTGCTTCTAGCAAAAGTAACAGGACCAAGACTGGAGCATATAAATACAAAGACAACATATTACAAGCATTCCATCATATTAAGGTTATTTTCTCCAGAAATAATTAAAGAAATACCAAAACATCACTAACTTAAAATACAAGAACAGTATACAGTACACACAATCTAAATACAATACCTGTGCTGAAATAGATAATATTGTACTGCATTTAAGATCAATATCTATATTTTCATACATTTTAACTGGGGAAAAAAATGGGTTTTCAATAAGCGCATTTAAAATGTGAACTGTGGACCAACACAGTAACCAAAGTGTTAATCTGTCCTGTTCTTTAAGTGGGGGCCTCAATGGGGACAAGAAGCTGGCGGCCTGTCAAAGGTCCTCCCATTGTTCCCTAGAATTTTTTTCAACTTAATCTTCAACTACTGTACAGTCATGTCTTGGCATTTATGACTTCAGTGGGTAGGTGGCTCTACGGGTTTATAACCCTATAGGCAAAAAGGCATCTCATGTTATCTGTCCAGCACTGTCTTGTCGAACTTGAAGCTGTTGCCCTTTTGTGTGCATTACATTTGACCTTTTAAAGAAGTGGTCTGTATTAACATCCTCCAATTTCTTCAGTATTATAAAAAGGTCTTGATGAGATTAGTCTAGTTTGTATTTATGCTCTGCCTAACCTGTCACATGCTGTACTTGTTAAAATAATTTTGTAGATTCTCATTTGCCATTCAAATTGCATACACTGTCATCTTCATTCCATGCCAAGTAAATAGGAGGAAAAGCTTTTATCAGACTGGCAAGTAACATCACAGGTTGTTTTGACAAAGAACACTCAGAAACCACTAAAACAAAGAAAAAACATATACAGTAACCTTTTAGCAATTACGTTTCATCAATAATATCGAGATAATGATATCGCCAGTAGTGTAAAGCTCAATTTTTACCTGGATATCCCCGATACTGTGATCATAAACAAAACAATTGGATAACCATTATGCTGGTCTGACATGTGCTACAGTTAGTGGTATTATTATTAACCCGTGTTGCCTGTTGTCATAGTACTACCTGCAACATAAACAATGTTCTCCTACAGTAGTTCCCCGTCGACATAACAATCACCTGCCAGGAGTCTCAAGGGCTCACCTGCGTCAGTAGATAACACTCGCTCCTCTCTCAACAACACTACCGCCTCCAAACTCTCATCTCAGAACCCACACTTTACTTAACGTCTGTTCATGGCAGCTGTCTTCCACGAGACAATCAGGAGGTGCAAACCTCCACAGAAGGGGCCACACGCCCAGACCAGCTGACACACAGCTGGACTTCGTCTGCTCTACCAGCTGATATCCCAACCTTCTATACCTTCTTCAATATTTTTTTTACTCTTTCTCCTTCACAATATACACAGCAATGTTACCCAAGATTCCGCTGTCATTATAACTTTATGGACATTAATCTATGGAGTATAATCCTTTGACAAACTACACAAACTCACTTAAACCCAAGACCAGCCAGGAGACCGGACAGCCATAACTGAGGTTTACGTGTACTAACTTACTAAGACATTTCGTTTGCTATGAATGGACATATTTGATCATTTCTAGATGACTGTGAATATAATTTTGACATATATTTGGTTTATAAAACATTAAGGCATATTTAATGCATCTAATTTGTATATATTATATGTACAAATACAAAAGATGAATGTGTTTGGTGTTGACAATCCAGGGAAGCCAAGAGTCAGGCGAGGAATCGGATGTCGTCGCAAAGTTGGAGCAACAACTCGGCTGTTGGTTCCTTTCACTTCCTGAGACTTTTTTTATTTCAATGCAACTTTCACTTAAAAATAGTAATTGTTTTCTCGGTTAAATAACGATTTAGTTTAATTTCTCTTCATATTGTCTTTCGTTTTTGTCTGGAATGCTGCTTGAGAAAGTAGCTTTCTCAGTCTATAGACGACGTCTTTAAGAAGTATTTCAGACTGTTTCAAGCTGTGTAAAGAAAGCGTCTCGCCTAAGCTACATCAGTACATCGACTTAGTTCTGGGATTATTTTCGTCGCCCGTGGTTGAATTTTCTCCAAAGTAGATATGTCCTGAGGTCTCTAGACATAGATATAGTAGTCTTGGGGCGCATAAGAGACTACACTTGAATAACTTTCTTTTCCTTGAATTCAAACGTTCCTCTTGACTATTTCTAGAGGTTTATTTTTTTATTACAACTCCCACTTAATTGTACACAAAGTATGATTTCATCTAAGAGGTTGACAACCCTAGTTAACTACAAGGACTAAACTATCCTTCCCAGAAAAGCCCGAGACCGAGACAGGCAGGTCAGGAATCTGCTTGTCTGTATGACTCAGTAGTTCACCAATCAGTCTCCTTAGTTACCTCAACGGGGAGAGGAAGCCAAGGGCTTGAAGCTGTTGCTCCTTGTATGCTCTATATGACTAAATGTGTCTGGAATAATCGCCTCCAAATTGTTCAGTATTTTAAAGGACTATGAGATCAGCCTCGTCATGTCTGGTTGGCCGTGTTGTTAGAACTGTGGCCCTCATCCGTTCCTGGTACGAGTTACTTGGTTCTGGGATGATTTTTGTGTGTTGAACTTTCTCCGAAGCAGTTATGACCTTTTAAACAGGTTAGAAGGTTGTAACAGAACCCATGGGCACCACACTTGATCAAACTAGAAATGCTCTGCAAATCAAAGGATCCATAATGTGGAAAGACCTTCCCAATCATGTCAAAGACTGTTCCTCTCAACCAGTTTAAGATAAAAACTAAAAACTACCAAATAAACTCCATGTAACCTACCTTACCCTTAAATGTCAACCCATGTCTTACTATTGTAATCAATGCTGTTTGTTGACCAACTTGTATAATTGCTATTCTCTGCCTTGTTCCCCCTCTTTGTATTTTGTATTTTTTCAACACAATTTATACTTCAAGCTCAATTACTATTAAGTTTTGGTCTGTTTTTTTCTTTTTACCCCCCCCCCCCCCTCACTTTGCCCAAAACGCTGTGTGTACTAGTGGCTTTAGGTATTGTATGTATGTTCTCTATCATTAAAACCAATATTATATATGTACCTTTACCAGAATAAAAAATCTAAATCTAAACATGAGGTCTCCATGCTTGGATATAGTAGTCCAGATAGCACACTGGACTTATACGGGCGAATAACCATTTTCTTTCCTGTAAAGTCAAAGGTTCATTTGACTGTATATAGTTAATTTTTTTTTACTACAACATCCATTTGTTGTGTAACTTAATTTATTTTCATTTACTAATATATATACAAGAGTTCTTATATTCTTGTTAAGCCACTACCATGCATAGCATTTTCCCCGGAATACAACCCGCCAAATCGTTTAACAACCAGGTACCCATTCACTGCTTTGTGAACAGAGGCTACAGTTAAAGATTAGCACCTGGTCAATCCTCCCCGGCCAGGATACGAACCCAGGACAAAGGGCTCGCAAAGCGCCAGGCGAGTGCTTTACCACTGTGCCATGGGACAGCCAAACTTTCAATGACTGGTGGATCCCAACTCGTAGGGACATTTTCTGTCAATCTTCTTAATGGTAGTGAAGCTGATATGATAGTTGTGATATTGTTATACCCTACATGCGAGGTCTTGTATTGTTTAGTATTGAAATGCATTTGCCAGCCATCTGACCATTTGTGGAGATCATGTAGATGTCTTTACAAGGCCTCAATATAATTTTTTCTTCTTACTTTACTTATCTTATTGTCATCTACAAATCTGATGATGTGGTCTGTAGTATTCTCATTAATGTTAATGACAAAAAAAGGGTCGACCCCAAGATGGAACCTTTCAGTACACCCACTCTCCACATTTCTCCGTTTAGATTCATTTCCATTTAGGAGGAACCTTTGCTTCCTCTGTTTTAACCATTGTTTTATCCATTCTAGTGCATTACCATTTATTCCATATGCTTGTAATTTCCTTGCTAGTCTTTCATCTGGTACCATATCAAAAGCTTTATAGAAGTCCATGTATACTAGATCTATTGGAAGTCCTGTGTATAAATAGATCTAAGAATATGCATTACCTACTGATGTAGACCTGGCCAAATGTAAACTGCCAGGAAAATAATTCACACACCCTTACACTTAATTACACTTAGGTAATTAATTACCCTATGTCATTATGTGATGAAGTGTGAAAAGATACATGAATGTAGAAAGTTTTATAACAAATTTTCAAGAAATGTGTAAATATTTCATTCAAAATATTTTACCACTACAAGTTTAGCCAAATATTCCTAGTTTGCTAACTGTGGGTGATTGTAACCCCTCATTTACTACCCACAGTTGTAAATGTGGGTTTAACTAACTCCCCACTCACTGGGAAGTTGGTGTGCAGATAAGCAAATAAAATTATGAAACTAGCTCACCACATACGTAAGTTGCCTAGCACAGACTCTGTACATGTGATTATTCTTGAATCATTTGTTGTTATAATTATTCATTAATCTGTGTAGCTAGTTTATCAAGACTGTAAATTACTACGCTAAATGAATTTGGGGAGTCCACTGTGTCTAACCTTTTCTAGTACAGTACTGTCCACATGCACAATAAATGAACTAAATCTAACTAATTAGATGGTTACCATTCCCAAAAATGTGAGCAGGTTAGTAAGCCAATATTTATTTTTAACAAAACCATGTCATGTTGACTTCGCTAGCTAGTGCATTGTGAGATGGTAAATGCATTTACCTCGCTCCTGTAGAACACACTCCATGAGCTTGAATGTATATGATGTTAGGTTAGGCTGTGGATAGTTTTCTGCTGGGCTCTTACTGCCTTTTTAGTTGATCAGGGTGACATTGGCATATTTCCAATCCAGGGGACTTTACCCTACTTTAAATTTTCTGAATTAGAGTTGGTACTTTCCTCATGTGTGCATGGAAAAGTACTAACTTTCGAGCTCACAGCACAAACTTGGTAGTTTTCAGTACCAACTGTGAGCTTGGAAAAAATTATCAGGAAAAATGGGGAGACCTTTGACAAGCCATTGGCTTCATGTCCCCATCAATGTCACTAGTGTGAATGTCAGGTAAAGTCAGGAAAAAGTTGTACTCTCACATGACAGCTATTAATGTATGCAAAGTTGCACTGTACTCACACGATTAACACACCCAGCCCATTCTCTCGAGCATTCACGTCACTAAACTGATAAATTGACTAAATTGTCCAAACCTAACCTAAACACCACCACCACCTAGCAGCAGCACTGGGCAGAAGCAGAAAAATTAAGCGGCAGCAGTTGCAAATTTACCTGAGGGCAACTATCTCTCTAGTAACCTCAACAAGGACAGGAAGTTGGCAGCTTGTATAAGTAACACTCCCCTTTCTCATTTCTCCTGATTTTGAAGTTAAGCAGCATTTTGGCCGAACCTGTGTGAAAGCTTGTGCTCTTACATAACCACCAGCAACTGCTGTGTACAAGCCAGTACACATATACAGGCTTTAATGTGCCTGTATAGAACTGTGCTGCTCAAAAATACTAGAGCAGCAGCTGCTGTTTGGAAGCCTACTAATGATGCCTTAATAAAAAAAATAGACAATGGATTTTATGTAGCATCACAGGACTATGTGAACCCTGTGTATGTAGACAGGCAAACTAGAACACCATTACTGATTATTGCCACCAGCAGTGGCTAGTTTACTATGCACCCTGTACTCATCCTGTGAGTGGTAATTTTACTGAAATTTACGTGAGGGGCCACCATGTATCTAGTGGCTTTGACAGGAATAGGAAGCAAGTGGCTTGTCAAAGGCCACTTTTTTCCCAAGGATTTTAATGGGAGTTTGAATTGCAGTAATAATAATTCATTGTGTCAGGGGACAGGCAGCCAGTGTATATATACATGTTAGGTTTATATCGAGGTCTTCCCAAAAGCTTCAATTACTGACCCTCCCCAGGATGCAACCCCACAACAAGCTGACTAACTCCTGGATATCTATGTACTGCTGAATGAACAGGAGCATTTATAGGAAAAAGGAAACGTGCCCAACCATTTCTGTCCAGACAAGGATTCGAACCTGGGTGGGTTGAGGAGAGAAACGGGAGAGAGAAAAGAAATAGAGAAATGCTATTAATCCAAAGATTTGTTTTTCAGATAATATAATAACCTTTTAACCAAACTAAATCTTTAATGCTGATATATTAAATTTTATTAATATATATAAATTCTCACAACTTAAAAATAATTTCTCCAATAGTTAAAGCCACAAAAACACAAAAATTTCAATAAATATTTATCATGATGTCATAACCCATACTACAAAAATTATTTATAACTTAATTAACTGGAGTATTATTTTGATTTTGTAAAACAGTCTGGTAACTTAAAACCTTCTGCTACTTCTGCAAAGTATTGAAAAATAATTAATACAAGATATTTTTCGCAAGGAAGAAAGCAGATTGTGGGGCATCTTCCAAGTCACCTCAAGGTGGCAGACAATTTGAGATAATGCAGAAACTAACAAAGCAATTATCCTAAGACTTTACTACATGTGTAACATCATATAAATAATATGAGATAATTACAAGTAGAAAAGTCTACTAATATAGACAATAGAAAATTATAAATACCTTACATAAACAATATTTTATATTTATTTATATATTATATATATGTATGTATATATACTGTATGTGTGTGTGTGTATCCAGAGGGTAAATGCCCATTGAATCCTTGGTTCCTGCTCGATGTTGGAGGAGTTCGAAGAAACCTACAGCCTCTAGGAAACAAACTTCCCTTTACTTCCTATTAATGTCCACTTTTTGTAACCAATGAGATAAGTAACTGTATAACCATATTGTGTATACATATATATATATATATATATATATATATATATATATATATATATATATATATATATATCATATCAGTTGTGTATTTGTGAAGTCTTTGAAAATGTAATAAGTTTTACGATATATATATATATATATATATATATATATATATATATATATATATATATATATATATATATATATATATATATATATATATATATATATATATATATATATATATTACATAAACTGCTATATATAAAGCTGGTTTCAGATTCAAGATGAGTATTCATATTCATACATTTTGAGTATTGGGAAATGAAATAAGGTTTGATATTATAAGCCATTATAATGTGGTAAATCTGGTACGACGCGAGATTGTTGATCTTGACGAGAAGCAGAAAATCGAGACAGGACTCCTCTTCTTGATGTTTTCGTTCTGGTGGTCGAGCTACTACCACCACTACACTGGGGTTGATGAACATCTCTGTGAAATAGAACAATTTGCCAAATCAAGTGAGGTTTGAACCCAAAGTGCCACATGTCATTTTGAGTGTACAGCCTTTTGCTGACCTACAATACACAGGAAACACTACCATGGTGAAAGTAAATTGAATGACTTATATCCAATTGGTGGCTTTTTCATTGCCTAATATGACACTACAATGTTACAGTACTGTATTAGGTTTTCAGTTTACATTTTTTGTCAGAATTATGAAGTTCTCTGTCATTATAGGAGATATAAGCTGTTCTTATGTCTGAGGAAGTAATACAAAGTACTGTATAGAGATACCATTTATCCTACATATTGTTCTTTTCTTCGACTTTACTCACAATGTGGTATAAACTGGTCTGAAATCCTTTCTTTCCCTTCATACAGTCACTTGTAATGAATACTATATTTTTCATTCTTCGCCACATATCTTTAACTTTGTATCTTCCTATTTCCCAACCTGCATATGCTTACTGTGGCAACCATTAATGTCTTCAAATGTTTCAGCTTAATGCAAGTAATAACTGGTTCACTTATGATAAACTGGCATGAGTTATTGTATAACAATGTTGTAATAACTCTTTTAGCATTTAAGAGTTGAAATCTCTAGTAAGTATTTTAACTTTTTAATTGATAATTTCTGTTTTATCCAGGTGTTTTCCACATCAAAACTGCATGTCTTATCTGATGTCTTTAGTAATGCTAAAGGGTTTATAATATGCTCCCTGAATGAGCTGATCCTTGTCTTTTGGCCAGTGTTAATGTTTACCAAACCTGTCCATCCTGCAAGCTCCCTCCTACAGTTCAGGACCACTTAACATTACACTTTCACCAAAAGACTCTCTCTTACTGTTTAACACATCACACACATATATGACTGAATCTCGCAATGAATGCAGCTCCATTCAAGGTATTCTACATTTTCTGCAAACCTTTAAATCTCTTTACCAACTTTTTCAGTGTGGTGGTCCAGAAGAAAATGGGGACTTCATTCTTTTTTTTTTTAACTACAAAATCTGAACATCAGTATAACAAATTCTTCTAAACAATAGATAAAATCTGCCCACTGACTTTTTTCCTCCCCAAATCATATTTCTAGAATGGAAAACAAAGAAAAAAGTCTGAAGGGGGACATAGAAATTTCAGTATCTCAATACTCATCTCTCTCTCTCTCACTCTCGACATATTTCACTCTCAATATCTCTCTCTCTCACTCTCATATTAATTTTTTATATTATATTTTATATATATATATATATATATATATATATATATATATATATATATATATATATATATATATATATATATATATATATATATATATATATATATATATATATATATATATATATATATATATAATCGTAAATTTCAAACTTACGCGAAAAATGGTAATAAGCTTGTAAATGTTGGTTTATCTGGTGATGATGTGAGCTGTGGATGGGAAGTGAGAAGCAAGTTCACCACTTGTCGAATGTACTGTTGGAGGCGGACGCGACGTTCTTCCACTACACTATCATCCTTTTGGAAATACACAAGAAAAATAAATTATATTATGCTGTGAGATTTAATGAATAATAATATAATTTTGCTCTGCTGTGGATTGGGCACAAAAATAAAATCAAGACACTTCCTCATTTGTTTGCAAGTTTATCAACAAGAAATATTATTCATGACATGTAATGTCATTGAAAATTGGTAGTGTGCAATTTTATCAGGATGAAGATTTCAGTCTTACACTAAATACTGGAACTTGTTAGATTATTCAGCACCATGGTTTTCCCAGAACACAATCTTCCTACCGATTTACATCCAGGTCCTCAATCACCGTGGTGTATACACTGGAACCTCGATTCAACAAAGTTTTTAACCTTTCTAACCAATCTATTTTCCTCTATTATGTCTATTACATTTATTTCTAGCACATGCACATACATACACCCCCAGGAAGCAGCTGTCTAACTCCCAAGTACCTATTTACTGCTAGGTGAACAGGTGCATCAGGTGAAAGAAACTGCCTATTTGTTTCTGCCTTGGCCACTGGCCAACCACTTGGGCTGGACAGTAGACCAACTGTCTCGCTTCATGTAGACTGGTGTTCAATTCCCATGTAGTGAATTGAATGTTTGGCACCATTCCTTTCCCCTGCCCCATCCCTAATCTTTATCCTGATCCCTTCCAAGTGCTATACAGTCGTAATGGCTTTGCACTTTCTCCTCATATTTCCCTTCCCTTCCCTTCTGCCTAGGCTGGGAAACGAACACAGGCCCTTAAGACTACAATCCCAGAATGCTGTCCATTCAGCTGCGAGGCCCCCAAAGTATGTACACTACATTATGTACACTATCTGCACATTCCCACACAGCTGTGTGTGGGGTTGTGTACATATGGGTGAGTGAATGTGTGTATATTGGAGTGTGCTTATGAGCATGTGTATGTGGAGGGGGGGGGGGAGTGATTGTAACTGCCTAGGTGTGCTTGCTATGTGTTCGCTTCAAAGCCCAATCTTTTAACTATTCATAGTTTAAAATGCATCAACATTCTTTCATTTTCCAATTGTATTTACATTTAAGTTTATGTATAGAGTTCTCTCTTAAATCTCTTCTTCACCTAACCATTGCTCTTATTTATAACTTTTACTGAAGAATTTCATTCCAATATCTGTGTTACCCAATTGTCTCTAGGTTCTATCTACTGCTGCTCATTTTGAACACTGCTTCTTTGTTTACTTTAAAAAATTCTCAGAATCTTATCATGTTCCCCTTGGAGAGCTCCTTTGTCCAAGTTCCTGAAGCCTATTCAGACTTTGGCCAATTTGCATGTTAGGAAGTGTAATTACCTAAGTGTAGTTACAGGATGAGAGTTATGCTCCTGGTGTCCCGTCTTCCCAACACTCCGTTATATAACGCTTTAAAATTACAAAATGTTTTGGCCTCCACCATTTTCTCACTTAACTTGTTCCAACTGCCTACCACTCTGCTTGCAAAAGAAAACTTTCCTAATATTTTGTTAGAACCTTTGTTTCCTTAGCTTAAATCTATCACCTCCTGTTCTTGAGGTTGCCAGTTTCAGCTTTACTTTGTCACTTTGGTTGATTCCTGCTGCATACACGTGGGTGAGTGAGAGGAAATGCATGTGTGGGGGATAGTGGTAAAAGTGGAGAGCATAAACACATACATGGTACAAGCTATTAAATATATAACAGACTAGGTTGTGGCAGCAATAGATCATGACCACTACATAACCCACTAACCCCAACTGATAATGTAGCAGTCAGTGGGCTATGGTAGTGGTGGCTGCAGTTGTCTTATACAATTCATGTCTGATAAAATGGAATATTTTTGTTAAAGGCCAATTGACCAATTTGCTAAGCAGTCAATACAATTTTTTGGAAAAATAAAATTGTCATGAAAAACTATAAGAAATCTACAATGAAAAAGTATGCTGCTCTTCTCTTTCAAGACTGTGAAGGAGATGAATTCTAAATACACAGTACAGTATTATGTTACCTTATATCCAAATGTTTTCTTCTGGGGAAAATCAAAGGACTTGACAATGGGTTCCCTTTTTTTAAGTTGCTTATGAAGCTCATAGAACTGAGCAAACCGACGATAAACATTCCACTCGTCATCTCGAATACGAATGTATATCTGTTGGAAATGCTATTGTTAAGGGTCAAATTATTAGACATTAGATTACACCAAAACTACCCCCAAAATATAAAAATAACTGCAATTAAATGATTTACAAAACATTTCAAACATAATGTATCTAGAGAAAATGATACAGTATTAACATACAAGGAGGCTCATGCAAATTCTTTAAGGTTATAGATACAACCTAATCACAGAACTTAGAAAATTTTGTTAAATGATTTGAAGTTCAACATTAAATTTTGGAAATACAGTATGGTTAATATCCTTCATCAGTTAATGGCCAGTGCTCATTATAATGAATACTGGATCAAAACACAAAGCATTTGTACAAATGCCTTTATAAATAACAATCTGGTACACACTAAAATTTAAGCTTTACAATATAAGTATATTACATTCTAAAAATACTCAAGATAAAAGACTTGAAGATCACACCTGGTAAACATGATGAGTGTCAGCAGAAGTACCAGTAAGGAAGGCAGTTGGTATCCAAATGTTGATGAGAGTACGTGGGGTGGTCGAACTAGCGAATGTGTCCAAGTCACTGGTGATACTTGTAGTTTCTTGAAAATCCTCATTATCATCATGTTCATCAGGCAAAGGACCTCTGAGTTCTACCAGCTGCTCACGGAGTTGGCGAACCTGTAAAAAAAAAAAAAAAAATTAACTTCTGTACATCAAAGGTTAATAAAAAATCTACTTTATGCAGTACTGTATATCTGTGACTGGAAAGTGACAGGACTACTTAGTAGTAATTTACAGGTAGGTGTCTTATGGAGAAAAGGTGGACTATGAAGGTCTCTAAAGGTTAGGTAATTATGAGGGGGAAAAAATGCTTAGCCAGAGGTCTAAGCTGCTTCTATCTTGGCCAGAGGCAAAATGCTTCTATCTTGAGAGAAGATCTCAAGATAGCCAGAATGACTACAGAGCATTTGGGGAAAATATTAGTGCATGAAAGAAGCTGGAACAGAAAGACAAAGTGAGGGAATGGTGCCCAATGACATAGATCATCGGGAATCAAACATCGACCTGCAAAAAACAAGGCTGTCATTATACCAACCAGTCGAAGTGGATAGAGGTCTTCAGAATACATCCCAATTTGATCTATATAAGTTAAGTTTGATATTCAGAAATTAATGATGCAAAGTTAATAAGAGGAGAAAAAACCAAAGCAGAATGTAGTGTGTTGCAGGATGATCTTGACAAACTCCATGAGTGGGCAGACTTTAACCCCAACAAGTGTAAATTAATGAAGAAATGAGGAGACAGGACAGCAGTAAGAATCTGCAGCGATTGATAAAAATAGGAATTTGTACAAGTAAAAAGGAGAATGAGCCAGGGAAGGAAAATAGCTGGTGAAATAAAAGGCCTGGTTTAAAAGATAAGACTGAGTATGTAATCATACTGACTGTGATGAAATGCTGTTTACTGAGCTGGTCATTCAGTCACTTCCTTGGGCAATATCTTGCTTCCCTAATAACATGGCTGACTCCATCTGGGTCAAAGCAACTTTCTCACCACTGATAGTGAGGATTGTTTCAAACTTTAAATCAAAGAAATCACTATAACTCTGCTAATCTACCAAACTAACAATCTTTGCCAAGCAGGCAAGTAGTTTTACCAACGACTGCCTGGTCAGCACTGGCACCAGGTGAAAAACTCTATAATGTACACAGAGGGAAGCCAGTGATTCCACCATACAGTACTTCCATCCTTATTCACGCCTTGAAAATACTTGAGAAAAGCCAAAACAAAAGGGAGGGCACAGGAGTGATCAAGAGACCACCTCAGAATGAATGCCATCAATGCATTATTTCCAAGCCTAGGCCACTCAGTTGCTCATTTCAGCAAGAATCATCACTGCCACAAATATAAAAAAAAAATAATAAAAAAGGAAAAACAGAAGCAGCAACTTACCCAAAAAACAGTACAGTACTGTAATATCACAAAGCAGCTGAAAGGGAAGAGAACTGCAGTCCCAAAGAATGAGACATTCAAGGGTCCAGTCCCCTTGCTGAATAGTAGAATAGCATGAGGTGAACTGCAATTCTTCCTGAACCCCCAGACCAAAATATCGGCTCAGGTCATGGGGAATTAGACTCCATGATGGTGTCAAAAGGTGGCCAAAGCCCCTTGATAGCTGCCATCTAAAGCCTGGAGCCTTCTAACAGTGCAGAGGGCAACTCATCCTTTAAAGGTGTTGCAACATCCCGAAAATAATGTATTAAACTGCCCAAACCTAACCAAACTGAGGACCCACACATAGAAAATGAGACAGCCCATCAATTTTGTGAACTACTATGATTTAATAGTACACCATATTTTGACTTCCGAATTTATACATTAAAATGTGATGTATTATTTAAGAGACAAGTTTGCAAAGGGTTAGGACTGAATCTTTTTGAGGTTACCTCGAGATGATTTCGGGGCTTAGCGTCCCCGCAGCCTGGTCCTCGACCAGGCCTCCTTTTGTTACACATCCCCAGGATGCAGCCCATAGCAGCTGTCTAACTCCCAGGTACTGTACCTATTTACTGCTAGGTAACAGGGGCATCAGGGTTAAAGAAACACTGCCCATTTGTTTCCACCTCCACCGAGGGTTGAACCTGGAACCTCAGGACTACGAATCCGAAGCACTGTCCACTCAGCTGTCAGGCCGTTTAACTTAAACTCCCAATCTGAAGTCAGTTCAAAAGACTAAAATCAGGAGCCTTCCACAGAGACCACAGTATGACTAAGCAGAGTCCCCTCCAAAAAAATTGGAGGCACAACAAGGGTAAGTGTTGCCTCGGGCTCTCCCAACACTTTCCCTGTTGGCACCCATGGACAAAAAAACCTAAGCCTTTTAACCACCTTAACTAGAGGCAAGAGCTGGGATGCCAAATATGAATGGGACATGTGCTCACTGATTCCAATGATCTCATTAGGGAAGTCCACATCAGTAGGTGGAGTCTTGGTACAGAGTACTGTTTGTATTCACACTATGGTGATTAGGGGCTTCAACAGTCTGAAACGCAATTTTTTTTTTTTTTTTTTTTTTTTTACTAAAGGTCATTGAAGGGTTGCTGCTAGTATTGCTTGTAAACCATTTAACACAAGGTGATGTGTTTTACTATTGCTAGTGGTGTTGGAAAAGCTATAGCTGGTGTCAATGCACTTTTGGTCTTAATCTACATCTTAGTACTACTGTATATTTTAACAACTTTCCAAATCATGCTTGTGTTATTGTTATCTTTCCCAGTGCTTTTCAAACTATTGGAATTTACAATTCAGTCATGAGTGATGCTAATACTGCACATTGTGTATGACCAGATGTATACTGAGACAGGTAAGGTACACCTCTACCTTATATCTAGTCAAGCTCTTACCTGTGCTTCCCGTATCCTTAATAGTCTGTGTAGCTGTTCATTAAACTCCATCAATTCTCCATGCATTTCTGCAACCTGCAAATCATTAAAAGAATCTTTTAAAAGCTAAGAAAAAGCAAGCATTTGTAAATCATGAAAAGTATAAATTCACAATTAATAATAAGTGTACAGTATCAGAATGAAGCCAATAAAAAGAAAATAATAAAAATGTAAAAATACTGTATTATGAACTATGATAAACTTTTATAATTTCTCACCTCACTGGTTTAAGTGTCTAAATGTTTGCAGCATCTGCTCAGGATTTAACCTGGAACAATTTGTCTTGTACGGGGTAAGAGTAAAGCAACATTCGGGGTGCTTTATCTTTAATTCATCAGTGATATTGGCAGCTATTGAAGCCTCTAACAACCATCTACTATTCTATTAGATAAGTATTTGTTATTGTTTTTATGCACCCTTTTTAGTACTCTTAATCTGAGTAGTTGTCATAGAGTTCCCTAAGGAGAGATCCGACTGGTCTCATGAATAGGATCTAGTGGAGTCATGGCAGGTCAACCTTCTGAACCAGTGCAGCAAGGATATTTTTAAGTGTCCCTACTGGGTCATACTGGTGCTAGGGACATGCTGAATATTCAATTCAGTTCGGAATGACCTAGAATAGCCCATAAAAATAATCTCGATATCCTTCCTACCACTACTTGGCCACATATACTGTTTAGTAGTATTCTCACATATACTAAATGCAAGCTGCTTACTACTTCCTAGATTCAGATCTTTTTGGGCATTTTATATTTGGGGGGGGGGGGGGGTTGATGTACGTCTTATTTCATCAGCATGATCATTTAGATACGTACCACTGATTCTTAAATGCTATACATTACTACTCTTAATGGAAACTAATGGAAATGATGTAACTGGGTATACACCTTCAATTCACCTGTCGTATGTATGTGCCTGTAGTCTGAACCTTACAATAAAGAAATAAGTTTACAATTAACACCTCTTTGAGCTATTGTAGCATGGTCATAGATTTTATTGTACAGTACATAAATGTACATCACAGTAAATGATCTGCAGCTAGCTCCCCAACACACAACTTTGTTAAATTCTCCCAAAACTGTAATCATACCACTGGTTGAACATCTAACCTGAATAAGTTTCTTCTCATAAGCAGCAGCTTCATGGTGGTAATCTCGGTAATCTGGGGTAGGTTTGCTGGGTGGTGTAACTCCTCCTTCACTGTTTCCTTCACGCCGAAGAAGTTGCACTGCTCCTACATATTTCTTTAACTGGTGTTTCAATAATTCATTTTCCCTGAAACAATATCAAGTAAAAGCTGACATAACCAATACAGCACCGAGTTTAATAAAACGCTACTATCTGAGATACTTTTCATATACAGGTAACTAATTGTTTGACTTGTTAGAGTACTGTATTTAGTATACACAAAAAAGTAGAAAACTAAAAATATCTTTACACCAACTCAATCCAATAGAAAGGGTCATGTCCTAATGACCCTAATGGTCAGTTGGAGAAAGACTTCAATCAAATAGGAAGGAGTACTTGTATGGCCAACATCATTAGGGCAAAAATAGATGGCATATTTTTATGATGACCATCAATTAAATGTCAAATTAGGATTAAGTAGCTTAAAATATTGGTAAGACATTACCTGGTAAGTGTACTGATTTTCATATTCAATTTATCAAGAGTTTCTTGATGCTGACTCTGTTGAAGAGCTATCTCTGCTCTGAGCATTGATGTTGTTTCCATTTCCTGACTAAGTGCTGCTGCTACTTCCACTCTACGACCTTCTGCAGCATCTCGAGCACGACTTATCTCTAAAACAGCTGATTTTAGTTCATCTGAAACAAAATTACACAGTATGGTATATGCAATAACATGTCTTAATTTAAAAGAATATTAGAAAATGAGCAAAAAAAAATACTAGAAACAACTATAATCATTGTATAGGTGCCTACTAATATGCATGATATAGAGATGAATGGTAGTGGATGCATCCACTACATTCATCTCCAAAGCTATGAAAGCTATCATAAATAATTTGTATCCAAAAAATTACAATAAAGTCAAACAGCGTAGAGTTCATCTTGATTATTTCATTTTGTTCCTGTTGTTCCCCCACTCAATGCTGACACCTTTAACTCGGTAAGCAATTACTCCTAAAAATCCTTACTGTATTGTCATAAATATATTAGAAAATCTTTAACAAAGAGCAGTACCAGGTCTTGCAAACATTCTATGAATGTTTTAACTACATGTACTTCAATACCACATCAAAAGATACATTTTGTGCAATTGCAGGAATAATTAAACTGCTTATTTTCCAAAAGAATATTTTGCATCTACTGTGGTACATTCCAATACCCCTAAAGTAGAACATAATTCTTTTAAGAAAGCTGAGGGCACACTTGCTCCATGGGCAAAGGGTCTTAGATGACATGGGAACAAATTGTGATCCGACATGGGAAAGTGCAGAACTACTTAGAATTTTAGCCTAAAGAAACTGAGGTTCTCTCTGCTGGGCACTGGGCTGTGGCAAGGCTCCTCTTAATGATGTCTAACTTCATTATGTCATGCATGCTAACCCTTTGAGCTTCTGCTATGCAGACCATGCAAGTCACATTGATCAGCTTCCACTGTTCCAAATGCTCTTGTACTCAGTGTGAATTTTAACACCAAGGAAGAGGGTCTCTGGGTCTAGACATATGCCTGTTGCAAATATAGTTACTGCTAAAGTCCAGTGCAAAGGCTTTGCACAGTTTTGAGGAAGAACTTCTCCTGTTTACTATAATCTAAGCCACCTACACTGTAGATGTAACTGCACATAGAGGCCCTAGATATTTATGCAAAATTATGTCCATTATATAACTCCAATTATTGCTTTATTTCAAATTATATACTGTACATGTGTATCTGCTTTAATCATTATCATTTAATCTACATTACATTACTAAAAATTTCCTGTGGTGCCACACTGCATTTTGGCCTGCCTAATTATATGATCAACATCCACAGACACCACAAGATTTTACTTTAGGATGCAATTGAATGTCAGAGCTCAGAAATTACAACACCATAACTAATCTCTATCAGGTATTAATATCAAATAAAAACTAAGATATTGTACAAAATTAATTGTAATAAGTTGTTATTCTGTTCTGGTTGTGTCGAGTTTGATGATAATGATACTCAGCTACTCCAGAGTGTTTTATATTTGCAAGATTAATCTCCCTTTAACTGTCAAAGGTGAGTAACAAATCTGAACTAATAAGATAAGATTCCTAGGAGATAACCCTAGAAAATGCTGCAGTGTTAGCAGTATGCATGGCAAATGTGATAAAATGAGGAACTGTTAGCAAACCAAGCATTATTTCACTATTTTTGCTAAATTTTACGTGCTGTCAACTGTGAAAAGGCAATTAAGTTCAAACAAAGAGAAAAAAAAAGTTCTTGAATTGCAGCTGCTAACCTGAACCATTTCAGAGTTTTTCCTTATTAGCAGAAATTATGACATGGTTTAGATAGCAAAAATACAAAACTGGGTGATAAACTAAAGAATAGATTTGGAGAAAATTGACTGAAGTACAGTACAGTATTGGTATGTGAATTTTTAGTTTCCCATGTATCTTAACTGCTAAGTTCTTCATAAAAGAAAGTAAAACAGTGCAAATAATGTACATACAAATGAATATTAGAATGAAAGATAAATTTCCTTTTTCTAAAAATTAAAAAAAAAAAACACTGTTGAATGTAATGAAATGCCATTTTCTGGGTTGAGCCCCAGAGGCTCCCTGACCCTTCAGGGAGCTGATGTGGCTCCCCTCAGAAATTGTTCTAAAAGACATATCTAAATACAGTATAATAAAATCTTACCTACTGTTAATGTAGTGTCACCACTTGAAGGACTGGGTAAGGTAGAGGACACAGAGCTGGGACTAATGATCCCGGCCCTACCCTGAGCTCCGACAATATCGGCCACAGCTGCTGCCGCTTCATCAACCTCCTGAGAATACACAATGAAATCACAATAATGTGATAGATCTACAAGAAAATCTTTGGAGCAAGGCAGTGGAATTGAACCAGCATCCCATGGCCAAGATGCGCATTTGGGGTGACCCAGGATCTCGGGAAATAGCACACGCAGGAATACAATTCTTTCCCCTTTGTCATTTTTTTAGCATGTCATTTCTTACATATAAAAGGAAGGACTAAAATAATTTTACATTCTAGGAATCTACTAGCATTCATGTGTGCTCCTGTCACATACTTGTACTGTACTGTACATCCATATTAAAGTAGGGTTCTGTAGCACAGTGGTCTCTGTCCTTAACTCACAACTGAGGGACCTGGGTTCAATCCCTGAGCAGGAAACAAGTGATTGGGCTCATTTTGTTTTACCTGATGCTTCTGCTTGCCCAGCAATAACTAGTTACCCAGGAGTTAGACAACTGTTGTGGTTTGCACCTTGGGTAAAATCAGTAGTTGTCCTAGGGGGACCTTGATAAACCTAATTGCACGCTGTCTGTACTTGACAATAGGAATTATTATTAATAAGTTTAGCTTGACATATTAACATTTTCTTTTGAATTAGCCCATGAATACAGAGAATTACATACAGTACCCTTCCAAAATTCACTTCTATTTATTTAATTTCAATTAAATCTTTTTAAGAAAAGAAACTGAGCTAATTTAATCTCTAACATTAATTTATCAACTAAATACTTTAACCACTGCACTGCGCATAGTACCTTACGGCGCCCGACCAATAGTATGCTTAACACCTTAAGGTGCTTTTAGGTATAGGGAACGACTCAGAACTCCCATGGGTACATGGAGCTCCCATCCTCTAGTAAACATAGTCCAGAATTAGCCACACAATGGGGTGTACATATTGTCGAGTAAGATTACTTTTTTTTTTTTATACGAACATAGGGACATACCTTGGCTATTAATCGAGAACTTTAAGGGTTAAATAAGATAAGTCAAAAGAAAGAGCTCTCAAAAGGTTAGATGCTTAAGGTTGCTTTATCACTGTAATAATTCCAATGAGAATTAATAAAGCACGAAGAGTAAAAAGATACATACCTGAGTGTAGCTATTAATAGATGTTTCATCATCTGAGCGAATGCCATCAAAGGATGCAAGGCCTCTCGGGCTCATGGGAATCAGTCCCCCGACATCATTTCCACCCACTGGAGTGAATACAGCTCCTGTTTCACCTTCACTGTTAAAAGATTTTCTTTTAAACCATTTCTTGGTGTATATCTAACTACAATTACAAGCCAGTACACAGAAATATATTAATATTATACTGTTGCACATTTTAGTATGGCAGATTGTTAAAAAGAACTTCTAGTGCAAGTGTGATGATATTTCCACAAATGTTGTTAAAACAATTCACCTCCACAATTTTGCAATCCTAAAAATCTCAAGTGTGCACACATTTTCACATCCTTCATATCTCTCCCTTTTGAAGCAAAGGATCTTCTTGCCTGTAGTGAGGAGTTGAAAATGCCTGCATTAGCTTGAAAAACTTTTATAATTGAGTACTGAAGCCCCTTAAGCCCTAGAGCCAATGACAAATTTAAGGTCTCAAGTACTTAGCAAGTGACTTTTCTGCATCTTTATTTGAATTTATTACTTGCCTTGTTTAAGTATCATTGGCAAATTTGCTAATGCTGGTGCTCACTACAGTATCCAACTCATTTATGAATAATGAAGGTCTCAAAACAGAGTACTGGAGCACTCCACTTAAGACTATTTTTCCTCTTAAGCTCTATTCCATTTATGTCGACCCTCTGTTCCATGTGCAATAGCCATGCCCTGAACCACCTCAACATGTCCTCTTCAACCCATCCTGTTATAAAATATACTGCATTTTGAAGTCAAAACCTCCAACCATCAAATACAGTGGCACTATAAATTATATCAAATCAAACATTTTTTTATGTATGGCTGGTAGGTTAGGCCAAGGTTTAGTTAGGCTTGAATGTTTTAGTACACCATTTTCTGTCCATTGTTGCAACTCTAGAGCAGGGGTCTCCAAACTATGGCCCGCGGGCCACATCCGGCCCGCCACATAATTTCATCCAGCCCTCCAAACAAATCCCTGTGTGGTGGCCTTGAAAAAATAATTATCGTACGAATGGTATCGCAGAATTATTCAAAGCTGGGGCTGCTGACTGGTGGCGCTCAACCCGAGTCAGTTTTCCTCTCTCCTGATAGTGTGACGCACAGATACTAATACTGGTAGGTATGTGTTGTGCATTACAACCAATCAGTTGTGTATAACTGTATATTGTGGGGATGGAGGGCGAGTGGGGCTTCGCTGCTTCCGTTTCAGGGAGCACAAACACTGTACAATATTCTTTTCTCTGTACTTTGACAATGCCTTTATCTTAGTTATACAAAATAGCAATTTCATTTTTTATTCCTCCGGCCCGCATACATATGGGAAATATATAATGTGGCCCTTACATTGAAAAGTTTGGAGACCCCTGCTCTAGAGGATGGGCTGCTTCAATACCATTTACCTTTACTTTTTCTAAGAAGTCTCTCATATATATATATATATATATAAAAAAAAAAGAAAAAAAAAAAAAGTATCAGAAGCCTTATTAAAATCTGTGTGTACCATTGTCTACAGCTTTAAAAAGTGTTTAAAAAGAATTATAGCATATTTGTCAAACACGATTAATCCTTTGTAAATATCTTTTCAGTTATTTATTACAGTAATCTGTGTCTTTCAATGAGTAGAAATGGTATTTATAATTATTGTTTCAAGTATTTTCCAACAACCGAAGGAACTGCTGAAATCTAATAATTAATGAATATTCTTCACAAGGGTTGGCCACACACTTTTTTCTGGAAAATAATTATTTAGGAGAGTAAGACTTCTTTGGCTTCAGTTATTCTATTCATTTACTAACTTTTTCCCCTAGAAATTGTTAGTTTTTGTCTTCAATCTACAAATTTGTTAAACTTCAGGCAAATTGTCAAGTACATATCTAGTAAATAGACTAATAGAGAAGAGATATTAGCCCCTTTAATGATTCCAAACCCTATCTGTGATTATCTTTTGGGCCAAAATCTATTTTTTTTAACATTAGTTGTAATCTGTTTTTTGTCATGCACACCATGATGTAGGAATTTTAATTAGCCAAGCCATACAAGGGTTAAGCAATAAATATAGCAACACTAAGCTATAATATAAATGACTAGCCAGATCTGTCCTATAATTACTACAGCAGTCATGCCCCAACCCAAGTTGTGTCAATAATTTACTCACCCTAAGCAGTGATGAACAACTGGGTAAGCTGTGTGCTTGCTGCCAAGCAGAGACCAGTAGGTCAGCAGTTAGCACTACTTCCTGTTGCACCACTGGTTACACACAACAGGTTATAAAGACATTTGCAAATAAATGCTAAGTAACATTAAGCACACTATATTAGATCTTGTAATGTATTCTAAAATACATAAAAATTAACACGTTAGCAAATATTGCATACCTTGATGGAAAACTGTCTCCTGACAGATTGGATTGACTAGATTTGTAAGATCCAGTTTCTTGATCATAAAGATTATTGGGGCGTTGAGATTTCAACAGAGGCAAATTACCTGATGCACTGTTGTTGCCATTCAAAATAGTACCACTAGTATCAAAAGATTCATCATGCTTCTTTGTCAATATATTTTCAAACAACTGATGGTAACTAGGTTCATTCAATGATTCATCATCATAAGTGGCATTCTTGCCAATGGTAATATGGCTGGTTTCTAAACCATCAGTGTCTTGAAGAGGACTCACAATCTCATTTTCCGCTCCTAATTTCTCACTGGAATTTCCCATTTCTTGATAATTTCTAGAATGGTTCTTTTGGCTGTTAGATGATTCATTGGCTGATTTAAGAACTTGCTTAGCCTGTTGCAGTTCTCGAAGATGTGCCAAGCTCTCCAAGCGGTCAGCATATGGTGTTGAACCAGCTGTGGTTGGAGCAGGGGAGCTGAGACATGTCGTAGGGGCACTGTGGTATAATGGTGAATTTACATCTGGTCGATCAGGCCTTGAAAGGTCCTCATCAAAGGATATTAACTGAGAGGGTATCTTCTTTTTCCTTCTTCTCAGATCTCTCTTTCGTGGAACCACTGCATTACCTAATAAAACAAAAATAAGGATCATGCCAAAATTACACAATCATTTTAGGGTATATATGAAAATATATTTGGGGTTGTTACGGTGCCCTCTCCTATTTCTTTCGTTTGCCGGCTTAAAGAGTCATATCAGCTCTCCCTACTGATTCTCTGAGGTTCAGGGAGTCTAATGATATATGTGGCGACCAGACTGGCTGCCATTTAATGGAAGGAGGTTATATTATAAGTTGTAAATAAAGGAAAGTTGGCGCCCTGATATAAAATGAAACAGTATCCCCTACGGCAGATATGACCTTGTGGAAGGGACACTATGCCAATCGCGGATTGGCCGACGTAGGTCGCGGGCGACAAATCAGGGCCCGCCATGACGTCACCGAGTGCCCCGGGCGGCGCCAACGTCAGAGTTGTACTGACCGTGGAAGCGACAGGACGCGCCTCGGTCTGCTCTCAAGGATTGGAGGCTCTGCAAGCCTTGTTCAGTGGATTGAGCTGGCCTTCGTTGCCCACCATAGTTATTGGAGACCCTGCGCTTCTGGGAAGCCAAAGAGGAACCAAGTTCAGTGAGCAGAGAAGTGCCCAAACTTGGAAAATAGTCGGCGACGACGCTGGGCGGCGCCGCTGGCTGGACGTTGAGGTCTGGAAGGTGGGCGAGCAAGCTAGCTGTGACTGGGGTCACATCCACTGAGAATCTTGGAAGGACGACACCGTGCCTAGGACAAGGAGCGACGCCCTGTGGGAGAGGCGAGTGTGGGGAAAGATAGTGATTAGCTCAGCGCCCATCGATGAACCAGGATTGGGGCAGCTGAATCTCAGGGATTGGAACGGCGACGACGCGAAGGCTTCACGACACCTGAGGACCTGTGGAACGCCCTGGATCGTCGAGGATCGACCCAAGGAAGCGTGGGAACCTCACACCATCGAGGGACAGGCGTCGTGAGCCAGGAGTGTAAGGTAGATCATTTTTCCCTCCCATTACCCCTTGTATGAGTAGGCTAGTTAGGCCACAATATTTACTTGTGTATGTGGCAGCAAGACTTTATTACTTTAATAGTAGAATAGGCTGCAAGGCAGCTTGTGTCCAGGACTGTCAGAGAGGACAGTGTGTATGGATGGCAGGACAGTGAAGAAGAGGTGCCGACGTGGTGAAGAGGCCCTCCTGTGAGAGTGTGAGACTCCTGTCTTCCTGCCCAGTTGAAGGAGAGTTGGAGGTCGTGGAAGAAGAGGCTGACGATCTCCAGACTCATCATCCATATTCCATATTCATGTATTACTTGTGATTGTGTGTGTGTGTTCATGTAATTTGCGTCAGTAAATCCACACATTTTATTACTGTGTTTGAGTGTGCCTCCATTTGTGATATTTCTCTATGAGCATACATTTCTGGCTACAAACGATATATGATACACCCACTGAACTGCATTGCTGGGGTGCAGATATAATAACCCAGCTGGCGACCTTGCTAAGAGGAAGATAGAGAAGACAGGCGGGAAAGGAGTTCCTGCAACCTTTTTTTTGTCTGGCAGGCAAGACTCAGAGAGGCTATGGTTATAGGTAAGCCTGAGTCTTCCTTCACTCCCCCACGGGTCTAGGCCGGAACTGTTAACAGCAGTTTCCCCGTGGTTGACTGAAGGGCTTCCAGGGTGAATCAGTGGCACCCCTTTGTGGTGGAAGCAAAGACCTGCGGAGGTGGGCATTGTTGGTCCTATCTTGTGTGACCAAGGAGACTCCGGTGAATCCAGGGAGTCGGAGGGGCTGAGTATTTGGGCCCTTTGAGCCCCTAGCAGCCGAGTGTTAGCAGAGCCCCGGACCGCCCACCCCCCACGTGACAAGAGAACTGGCGACCTTGCCAGGATTCGAACCCCAGTAGCCAAGAACTGGGAACTTCGCCAGGAAGCGTGGATCAAGCTACAGTGTGGACCAAATTGCAAGACAAGTGTTGCCAGGGTACTAATACAGTGTGGCCAGTGAATTCGGTGGTACTGTTACTCAACCAGCTAAGGGACTGAAACGGTGAAATTAGTGCCTACTAACTTGTCTGTGCTGTCGTGTATGCTCAATGATATAGAGATGGAGGAAGACAAAGTAAAGAAATTTATTGACACAAGGGACGAGAGAATTTTGGAAGAGTGTACCAAGGCCCAGCTCCAACAAGTGGCAAACCACTTTGGGATCAGGTTGAGGACGACTAAGGTAGCGGAGCGAAGGATAGAGATCATGGCACAGCTCACAGCTCGAGAGGAAGCGACGGGAGAGGAGCCATCTCAAGAGGAGCCGTCCCGAGGAGAGCCGTCGCAAGGTGAACCGTCCCGACTAGGGCCACCCCAAGCGCCTACCAGTGTGGAGAGAATTCACAGTGAACATGGGAGCAGTGGAAGGTCCAGCTGTAGTAAGAGGAGCCTGCAACTGGAAATAATGAAGATGCAACTGGAAGCCCAGCTGCGACGAGAGGAAAGAGAAGCGCAAATGCAGCGAGAGGAACGTGCAGCTGAGCTGCAGCGAGGTGAGCGAGAAGCACGGCTGCAGCTGCAGCGAGAGGAGCGAGAAGCTCGGCTGCAGCGAGAAGAAGGAGAGAGACAACTGCGACTGGAGGAGATAAAGGCAAAGAAAGAAGTCGAATTGCGTCGCGTTGAACGTGGTCTGCCCTCACTACCTGCACGGCGGGATGACCTCAAGGTAAGGGAACGTGACTTACCTACGTTCGAACCACAAGAAGCTGAGGCGTTCTTCGAACACTTTGAACGGATAGCGACTCTGAAGGAGTGGCCGGAAGATGATTGGGCTGCTCTGGTCCAGGGCAGGTTGACTGGAGAGGCCCGGGAAGCCTATAACATGCTGGACCTAGAGGAGTGTACTAGTTATGACGCGATTAAGAATGCGGTTCTCCACTCATTCCGGCTGACTCCGGAGATGTACCGGAAGCGGTTCAGAGAGTGTACAAGAGCGTCGGGAAAGACTTACGCCGAGACCGCCAGGGATATGGAACGGAAATTCCTACGATGGTTGAAGGCGGAGGAAGCGGAGTCGGTGGATGATATCAAACGACTGATAGTGATGGAGAAGTTTATGTCAGTGCTCCATCCTGAGTTGCGAGTAAGGGTGAGAGAAGCAGGTATTAAGGACCTGAAGGCTGCAGCGGATCGAGCCGACATGCTGGAGGAGGCACTACATATCAGGAGGGAGGGGCCGCCCAGACACTCGCCTTACCCCAGGTCGGGAGGGAACCTTAGGAGTTCAGGAGGAGCGAGGACGGGTGGGGACTCTCCCAAGAGTAGTGTGCCCGATGAAGTAACGTGGTTCAAGAGCTCAAGAGACGCGGGGAGGAAGCCCCAAGCTGTGAGCAGTGGACCTAACTCGGGAGCAAGTGCTGCAGTCCCGGATACGACGACAGGGAGTCCAAGGAGGACCCAGGGGACGTCTGCAAGTGGTACCGCCAGAGTGACTAGCGAGTGGCCGCCCAGGGGAGGCAGCCGATGCTACAACTGTGGTGTGAGAGGACATTATGCCCGCGAGTGTGAGGAGCACCAAAGGAATGTAGGATTAATGTTGGAAGAGGAGAGAGTGTTTGTTCACACCCCATATTATAGTGGACCCAACGTGAATGGTTGGGAAATGAAGTTGGGTGAACATCCCTTCGTTTTCGGGGCCAACGTGAAGTTTGGAAAGTCAGACCCAGTGGAGGTTGCCGTGCTTCGAGATACGGGTGCTGACATAAGTATGGTGACCAGGAGTATTCTCCCCAAGGAATTTAATGATTCACCTGTGGGAGTGGTGAGGATACGCAGTGTGGGGGAGGAATACAGGTTGCCACTTCACGAAGTACAGCTGATTGCCGACTACGGAGTCGAGAAAGCTATAGTAGCTGTAGCCCCTAAGTTACCCCTAGAGCATGTACAGATGGTGCTGGGTAATGACCTCGGAGGAGGCAGGATACAACCCGATTGGGCCAGGAGTGCCTATGTTGCAAGCAGCGGTACAACCCTGCCAGGTGAGGTATCGGTCGTTCCAGATGGTCGTGAGGAAGCCGACTTCGCCAGGGAAAACGTCGCCAGAGACGACGACAACGAGGGCGAGAGTGCAGAGAGGTCGTCGGAGGTTGTGGAAAACCCCGACGGGGACCTCCGACTAAGCCTGATGATGCGTGTGGAGGAGTGGCGAGGAGCAGCTGTACAAACGCCTGGGGCGGTGAAGAGGCTGCAGACCGCACTCCCTCCATACAGAAACGTGAATAAAGTAAGCTCAGTGGATGAGCGAACGGCAGTGAGGGGCAGAGTGGAGGAGCCACGACGCAAGGCACCCTATGCCGGCCAGATGAATAGTGGTAGGTGCAAGATGAACCACCGTGGTGAGGTGAGCCACAGGGAGGTGGAAGAGCCCAACCACGAACCGAAGAAGACGTCTGCAGGGAAGAGAATCTCATGGAGGAGTGAAGATGTTCGTCGGGAACGAAGGAGCGAGTGGTATAGGAAAGGCAATACGAAGAAAGCAGGGAATAGGTACACCCAGGGTAGGCGCCAGCCTAACCAGAGGGGCATTGGGCCATCGCAAAAGCCTAGTGTGGAAGAGAGGAAGCTGCTGGATGGAGTACAGGTTACAAGTGCCACTGTGAGGAGACAACGCACCTACGGGAGAAGAGGAACCGAGAAGAGAGAAGATTGGCGAAGAGGAGATCATGAGAGGAAACATGGAGTACCTGTAGGACGCAATGGAAATGCAAGACTATCTCGGAGTGCACGACGCGGTGGAGGCGCTGCATGCACTGAATCTTACAGTGGTAACGAGCCGTGGGAGTACACTCGTAGCCACGGAGAGAGGATTTCTTGTAGGTGTTCAGGGAACACCCATCACACCCGGTACTATGCGAGGTGGAGATATAATGAGACAAGTGACTGGCAAGGTGGAACGAGCCACATCGCCAACTAGAGGAGTGACACTTCAGGAACGGAGGGAGCAAGAGTATAGATTGCCCTCTTGAGTGCTGCTCTTCCGATATGACTCTTATTTTAAGGGGAGGGGTATGTTACGGTGCCCTCTCCTATTTCTTTCGTTTGCCGGCTTAAAGAGTCATATCAGCTCTCCCTACTGATTCTCTGAGGTTCAGGGAGTCTAATGATATATGTGGCGACCAGACCGGCTGCCATTTTATGGAAGGAGGTTATATTATAAGTTGTAAATAAAGGAAAGTTGGCGCCCTGATATGAAATGAAACAGTATCCTCTACGGCAGATATGACCTTGTGGAAGGGACACTAAGCCGATCGCGGATTGGCCGACGTAGGTCGCGGGCGACAAATCAGGGCCCGCCATGACGTCACCGAGTGCCCCGGGCGGCGCCAACGTCAGAGTTGTACTGACCGTGGAAGCGACAGGACGCGCCTCGGTCTGCTCTCAAAGATTGGAGGCTCTGCAAGCCTTGTTCAGTGGATTGAGCTGGCCTTCGTTGCCCACCATAGTTATTGGAGACCCTGCGCTTCTGGGAAGCAAAAGAGGAACCAAGTTCAGTGAGCAGAGAAGTGCCCAAACTTGGAAAATAGTCGGCGACGACGCTGGGCGGCGCCGCTGGCTGGACGTTGAGGTCTGGAAGGTGGGCGAGCAAGCTAGCTGTGACTGGGGTCACATCCACTGAGAATCTTGGAAGGACGACACCGTGCCTAGGACAAGGAGCGACGCCCTGTGGGAGAGGCGAGTGTGGGGAAAGATAGTGATTAGCTCAGCGCCCATCGATGAACCAGGATTGGGGCAGCTGAATCTCAGGGATTGGAACGGCGACGACGCGAAGGCTTCACGACACCTGAGGACCTGTGGAACGCCCTGGATCGTCGAGGATCGACCCAAGGAAGCGTGGGAACCTCACACCATCGAGGGACAGGCGTCGTGAGCCAGGAGTGTAAGGTAGATCATTTTTCCCTCCCATTACCCCTTGTATGAGTAGGCTAGTTAGGCCACAATATTTACTTGTGTATGTGGCAGCAAGACTTCATTACTTTAATAGTAGAATAGGCTGCAAGGCAGCTTGTGTCCAGGACTGTCAGAGAGGACAGTGTGTATGGATGGCAGGACAGTGAAGAAGAGGTGCCGACGTGGTGAAGAGGCCCTCCTGTGAGAGTGTGAGACTCCTGTCTTCCTGCCCAGTTGAAGGAGAGTTGGAGGTCGTGGAAGAAGAGGCTGACGATCTCCAGACTCATCATCCATATTCCATATTCATGTATTACTTGTGATTGTGTGTGTGTGTTCATGTAATTTGCGTCAGTAAATCCACACATTTTATTACTGTGTTTGAGTGTGCCTCCATTTGTGATATTTCTCTATGAGCATACATTTCTGGCTACAAACGATATATGATACACCCACTGAACTGCATTGCTGGGGTGCAGATATAATAACCCAGCTGGCGACCTTGCTAAGAGGAAGATAGAGAAGACAGGCGGGAAAGGAGTTCCTGCAACCTTTTTTTTGTCTGGCAGGCAAGACTCAGAGAGGCTATGGTTATAGGTAAGCCTGAGTCTTCCTTCACTCCCCCACGGGTCTAGGCCGGAACTGTTAACAGCAGTTTCCCCGTGGTTGACTGAAGGGCTTCCAGGGTGAATCAGTGGCACCCCTTTGTGGTGGAAGCAAAGACCTGCGGAGGTGGGCATTGTTGGTCCTATCTTGTGTGACCAAGGAGACTCCGGTGAATCCAGGGAGTCGGAGGGGCTGAGTATTTGGGCCTTTTGAGCCCCTAGCAGCCGAGTGTTAGCAGAGCCCCGGACCGCCCACCCCCCACGTGACAACTTAGAGATGGTCAACTGGACATAAAACATCATGTAAAAAATCCAGAACTGAGTGTAACACAGCACCCCATGAAAACATATGCTGGGTGGGAAAAGTAGTGTAGGTACCATTAAACTTGCAAATGGGTTAGATCATGAACCTACGTTTGAAATAGGAAAAAGTTAAGGAACTAAAATGGCCAGATCATGCATTTATGAACAGCTGACCTATATAAATACTATGGTGATGGTGATGAATATGACGAATACTGCACAATAATAATCATTCATAATTTTATATACAAGGGCTTAAAATAAAAGTGTTCCCAGTCTTAAACGGTTTAAAATAGCGAATTGTGTAATGCCAAATATGTATTATCTTTTCACCTGTGTACTTACCAATCAAATATAAAGTTTTATGCACATACTATAGCTGACTTTATAAGGATGCCTTCATTTTGAAAGTAACAAAAGCATGTTATGGTGCTTCACTCTTAATGCAAATTGTTCACAGTAACCATTTAACTCTAAAGTGAAATACCTACTGTATATGTAATAATATGACATAGTAGAATATGTTGTGTATAGTTATGAGAGAGCCTTAACAAAACTTACATGCATATAACGTTCAAGGGAATGTTCGTTGAGCAGACTCCTTAGCCACGCACGACCTCTGCCAACATCAGTGGTTATATTCTTCAGGAGAAGAAAACGCTCATACTCATGCCGGGTTAAGAGCTCTCGTACATACCACCACAAAACTGAAAATAAACATTGATAGTAAACAAAATTTTAACTACTGAACTATACAACTGAAATGCAAAGCCAAGTATTGCATCAGACTATTAAGGAGTAATATTTTGAAGGCTGCCAAAGAGAACACAATCACATGCTGACGAAGCTAGAGTTTACAGAGATATCGGTTCTATAACCAATTTTCTTTGACCCACTCTCTGTAAAAGGTGGCATCATTCATTCAATAAAATTTAGTCCCTTCATTCACTCGTAAATGCATCTTTCACATACAGTATGTCTAAAATTGAAGACAGGTTCTACATCTGCAACGTTTGTCCAGATATTTGGTCTTCAGAACAGGACTTGGGTTTTGTGGCTGCAAACTGTTTGATATTGAAAGAAGAATAGGTCTTGCCATACAATAAATCTAAATCTGTGAGAAAAATAATAATAATAATAATAATAATACACACAGAAATCACAATATTTCAAAAACATTTCACAACTACATTGTGGTACAGCTGACTGGAGCACATCTGGGAACAATCATCAAGGCCCTTGTAGATTAGTTCATAATTATAATATTTATTTATTTATAAAAAAATACACAATCAGATTCCAGTAGTTCCTCAGAAGGTACAGTAATTGTATATGTTATACAGCCACAAATTACGTGCAGCATTTCAGGCTGTTCAAGATTCTGCCACAATTCTATCTATAGCTCTGATGCCTTGCTCATTCCTGGATGCTCACCATTAAGGGGTGGCCACAGCAGACATTTTTCCAAGAGGCTCTTGCCACACAACTCTTCACTCATTCTAGCCCTCTGACCCCTCAACACCCCTATCTTTCTCCACTCTTTCTTGAATATATTTTTTCACTCTCTCTTCCACAATATGGGTCATCTGATTCTGCCATATAATACATTTTATTGGGGACAAGCAGCCTGTGTATATATATACAGTAAAGTTATACTGTACTGAGGTCCCCCATGGTCGAACTACTGATCATCCCCAGGATTCAACCCCACAACAGTTTACTAACTCCAAGTTACCTATTTACTACTAATTGAACAGAGCCATTAGACATAGGAAATGTGCCTAACCATGTCTCTCCTTGCACTGATTCCAAGGGTCAGGGACCTGCAGCCTGGTCCCTGACCAGGCCTCCAGGTCCTGCCAGGATTCAACCTTGGGAATCCCAACTGTGAGTCGAGAACAACCCCAACTGTACTACCGAGACTCCAACCCTTCATTTCATCCTTGTTCACTATTCTTGTTCAATGGAGAAAACAACAAATTAATAAGAAAGCAACACAAATCAATGAAGTAAATATAGAGACAAGGTTTTTATTTATCTTTTTTTTTTTAATTCTGCTCCTAAAATACAAATAATTCCTTGGCAAGTATTGTATACATATTTTGTGCATTTATGACAACATTCTATACAATGGTATTGAATTATTAGGACTGTTTTTTGTGTTATATGCAATGATAAATCAAAAGCTATTTTTATTTAATTTTCTTTGTATTTATAGTTAATATTTAACACACAAACTGTGCAGCTATTTAAAAGGAAAACATTGAGATGCGTATGACTAGTGATTAGTACCAAATAAATGGTAAAGAATAGCTAATGATGATGGCAGCTCAGAAGGAAGTTTCAAATGGCAATTGGAGCATTATAAGCGGTTAAACAAAACTTATAAGTGATTGTCATATTTGAAATGAAATGTAATGTAATATAGAAAAAACAACAAAACACCCTTCTCTCTCATTCTCTCTCACACACGCACTTCCAATTTCAGAAATGCTTTTAGGTATATGGATGGTGAAATATTAAAGAAATTGTTCACGACCTTTGTGAGATCAAAGCTGGAATATGCAATGGTTGTATGGTGTTCATATCTTAAGCAACACATCAACAAACTTGAAAAGGTGCAAAGACATGCAACTAAATGGCTTCCTGAAATAAAAGACAAGAGCTATGAGGCATTAAATATGCCAAAAGTATATAATAGAAGAAAAAGAGGCGATATGATCACCACTTACAAAATAATAACAGGAACTGACCAAATTGACAAAGAGGAATTCCTGAAGCCAGCAACATCACAAACAAGAGAACACAAATTCAAGCTAAGGAAACAAAGGTGCCAAAAAAATTTGAAAGTTTTCTTTTGCAAACAAAGTGATAGACTGTTGGAATAAGCTAAGTGAGAAGGTGGTGGTGGTCAAAACCATCAGTAGTTTTAAAGTGTTACTGTATACAACAAAGAGTACTGGGAAGACGGGACACCACGAGCATAGCTCTCATCCAGTAACTACACTTGGGTTATTACACCACAGTGTAGAATATACTGTACATATTGTTTGTACATTATTTACATTAAAATTCTCTTTTGGGAACACTTTTGGCCTAGTACAGTAATCAATTCACTGAACTGTATCTTATACTGTATTAGAAAATGTAGTTTTAAAAAGGTTTAAAAAATTTGACAGTTTTTTCAAATTTTGACCATTCTTCTTCAAAGAGTATTTTGTGCATATACTGTAAATGTGTGTAAATTTGTGAAAATATTTTTGTTTAGTTCTACAGTATTAGGCTTATTGAGGTCTAGAACAATGATTAACCTTACTCAAGATACAACCCACAACAGTTACTTAACTGCCAGCTGAATAAAGTCATCAGATGACAAGAAACCTGCCCATATGTTTTGATCATCTGCGGGAATCCAACCCAGGACTTGCATAAAATAATGCTGCAGCCTTTCTCTGCTACACTTACCAGGAACCTCTGTGTCAGAACCAGGAAGACTAAGATGAAGATTTAGCCCAGATGTCACCATCTCCTTCACCTGCCTAAAAATAAACAAATTTGTCAAAAAATGAAGTGAGGCAGAATGTGTAATGTATGTGACTCAGAAGACTGGTCAGCTTCGTGATGGTACTCATGATGGTACACATCACAATGTCAGTGAACAAGCCTTGATAGTGTTAATACTGTACTAGAGTCCAATTGTGAATAATACTTCATTTTTCAGGTGCAGGATGTAAAAACTAAATTGTGGATACAAAATGTAGATATAAATGGGGGAAGAAAAATTAAGTGAAGAGAAAGCATCCCAATTCCCCATCATCCTTAAATACAAACAACCACAACCAAGAAATCATACCCAAAAAATCAAAATTATATTTAGCACTTGGCCATCACCTGCAGGATGTTTATGTTTTACTTAGCAAACTATTTATTTACATCAATTAAAGTCTTTTAGAATACAGGTCTCATCAACTTGACTTTGTGTTGGCTAATAACTGTAATAATATACAAGATAGCAATAAGTTCCGGTACAGGCATCAACCTACAGTCCAACCACCATCTATATGTACTTGCCAAATACTGTATTAATTTCCTGTCTTACCCTCCTCACCTACCTCTCAGTAATGAGAGATGAATCTCGAGCAGGATGCCCATGTGCACTAACACACTAGCATCTGACTCGGCATTATTCTAATTGTGTGTACAATGAAGGTTATCATCCACTCACTCTTTTTTAATTTTTGTTGAAAATATTTGATATTCTGTAACCATGTCAACTCAGAATACAGCAAATGCATCAACTAAAGTTTCTACTGACAACAAACACAAGAGGAAACTTGTGATGTGTTCTGATCAGAGTATTGTTGCAGCACTCCGACAAGTCTTGTGTGCACTAAATACAAAGTGTGCTAGGCAACTCTTTCTATATTTTGGAGGCCTTCTGAACAAAGTTTGTCTTTTATGCTCAATGTGATAAAGCAATATGGCAGATAAAGATGGATAGTCAGACTAGAGTAAAGAATAATGATGATGCCGAGTGGGAGCCCCTCACACTGTACCGTATTTCACAGACAGACAAGCCAATCTAACTTGTATGGTATTATGCCATACTATTACAATGTGATAGGCCATGAGCTTACATGGACTATGTGATTCATTATTACAAACATACACTTGATGTGCTTACTTAATTGCAGTAATACCTCTGCTGGGGGAATGCAATTTGAGGCCGTGAGATAATGCAAACTCAAGCCTGGTACATAGCGATGCAACTCTTTCATCTGTTTCAGTGGCAAGCTCAGCACGTCCTCCAAACCTCACCTGCAAAATTAAACAAAATTAAATATTGCTGTTAATTAAAATAAATTAAGTACAGATATAAACAAATGAAAATAAAGAGAAAGTGAGCAATTAAGGCTAGTACTGCATAGAGTTAAATAACGAGAATATAGGATTTATTTTGCTGTGCAGACAGCACTTGATGTGCACAATGGTTATGTTTCTATAAAAACTGTAGAAATAACAAACTCACAAATTGATCTTGAAAGTACAGTGCAGTATGCTCTGTGGAAAAATAAGGTCAAGTTCTTAAACCCTTAAGTCCATTTATGGAACATGCAGGATAAGAAGAAAGTCCAAGTGGGTAGTAGTAGTTCATAGGACAGTAATACAGTACTCTAAGATGCAGAGAATTAGTCACAATAATGTGAACGACACAAATGACCCATCCCACTCATATGAAAAGAAATTCAAGTGATGATGTTTTGATCCACTCTGGAACCTCATCAAGAGAGGTCAACCAGGCGAGGAGGACTGGTCGACAACCGGGCCGCGGGGACACTAAGCCCCGGAAGCACCTCAAGGTAAGACATGATTTGATAAGGGTCTTTAACATACCAAAATGTGTTTACTTTTGTTTCTTTTCAAGTGTTTGTTGGGTTACTCTAAGATGTTCTAAATCCTAGAAAGAATGACCAATAGCTGGTTTGAAAGGTATACAAGAGTGAGGTACATTGGTAATAATGGGAAGAGGATTTCTTAAGAATAATGTATCAATATGACAACTCGTATAGAAACTGAAAGACTATGTCCAGATGGTGCTATCTAGAGGGTATTCTGTTGTTGCCACCTTCTTGAAGAGTTTGAAGGAAAAAGTAGATATATCTGATACACTGATGGAAATTGTATTGAATTGATGGGAGTCCGGCACTAGGCTAGTGGCTGCAACTGGCAAGTCATTTAACACATGAGTACTGATGAAGGGAATTAGTCAATTTATCTAAAACAATCTTAATTTCAGAGGTTAAGCAGATGTCTCAGCACTTGACTAAGTCTAAAGCGAGTTTTGCTTATGTGACAAATTAAAAAACTCTGGATTTGAGTGATATATCTGGACTTGATCTGTAAAGATTAGGCAAGTTATTTAAAAAGTCTGCAAACCTTAAAGCTTTGCATGTTACTGTGGTTAATTCTGGTCATGTCTACAATTGAATTGATTTTCCCTTCAGCTCACAAGTACCTACATGTAGTTGCTGAAGCAACAGGCTTGGAAAAACAAAATTAATAATAATAATAATCACCTGACATCCTTGAACTGCTGAAAGTAAACTAGACAACAGTTCCTCTCTCTTACTGCTGTGAGCGTCTGAAATATATCCATACACCTTCATTACCTACTTATATTATTTAAAAGTTAAATCATTGATCATATGATGAGATATAGAACAGAGTTAAAATATATATTATACACACACACACACACACACACACACACACACACACACTATAAGCCATTATCAATACAATATAATCAAGGAAAATATTAAGATGTGAAACAACATAAAACTGAGTTAAACTTACCATTGTCTAAATTTAAAGACATTCTAATCTTCTTACATATGCTCTCGTTAGCACAACATTGAGTTCTGCTTCACATATTTTCTGGAACAATAATACGTACTGTACATACATTTGAATATGAATGGCAGCTAGGCTTCAATACTAATTAACACTGTTCAAGAGGTAACATATTGTACAGTAGAAAGGAATGTATGTCAACATTTAAGAAGATAATTCAGATAATTTTCCCAAAACCCCCCTAAGGAGAGAAAGATATTAAACTACTACTGTTCATCTTAATAAACAAATTCAACCATGTTTTATGATAAAACAAACAAAGACTGAGCTCATTAAGTCAACTTTTAAAGTTTGAATGTGACTGGGAGAGATTGCCAATGCTGGCCCCAGAAATGCATTTTACTGTACATCCATATTAAATGTGCCACCAGATTGCCGAGGGTCAGCTAAGTACTGTACATAAATTTGGGAAAGAACATAGGTATAAACATTTTATATAATAAATTTTTTAACTTTTAGTCAACTTGCAAAATACTCAAATTAATATTTGCAAGATTTACAGCCAAATATTCAGGAATTTCTAGACTTTCATTTGTATACACGTGGTCTTAACTCTAATATGTTAATTTTGACAATATTTTTATACATATGAATTTTAAATGGGTTGAATATTTCTCATAAGAATATCAACTTAATTAATATTTCAAAGATTACCATTTGGATGTACGTTTTTGGGAGATTACCATTTGTATGCATTTTTTTGGGTAAAACACATATAGACTGACTTACAGAAAAATTAAAAGGGGATAGATCTGTCAGATAATAGCCCATCTTGAAAAGGGCTGCAATGAATTATTATATTAAACATCAATGAAACACTAGGAAATAACAAATCAAGCAATGATTTAAAGATGAAATCAACTCCAGCTCTCTATATTCTACCGTAATCCATACCAACCACATCTGGGAAACATACAAAATCCCTGACCAACTGCTTTTTATTAGAAGTAATAGGTTCTAAAGTTCACTAGGAAAAGTAATTAATCATGAGTAGCATGTAAATGAAGAGTGAGTGGTAATAGGATTGAATTTAGAATTTGCAAGACTGAGGTCGAAGTCACTAAAAAAATGAAATAAGGATCAAAGAAGAGTAGAGTGGTACAGGTCATGAAGGAACTTAAAAGGCAATTTTAGACTGGAGATCCAAGAGACTTTCTGTGACTGCCACCATGCCAAGGAAGATGCTGTGAATGGAACCAGAAAATATAAATTGTTTTATAAATATCACAGTAAGCACAAATTCAAAGTACAGTACAGTAATTAACTTATAAACTGTGGCATCATACCTTAATTACTAATTTAATGAACTTACATTCATTGTACTTCCGGTTAAAACATGTAATTAACAGATGCTTATTATTATATTGCACATAGTTAGTCTAATATGCAAATACTTTAAACTACTTTTTGTCAAAACAATACAGTATACAAATAATAAATTTGAATCAAGAGCAAATGGTACACCATATTATGTCATGACATTTTATTTTAATACTGTATATAATTTCACAATACTTTTCAATAGCTGTATATTAAAATGTAATTCTCAGGCAATCATGCAATACAGTAAATCAAATGACACGAGGGCCAACAAGAGAAACAGGGATGAGTGAAAAAGAAAACTAGTATCACTTCTCATCAGAAATACAAAACTATTAAAATGTAAACATTAGTACTGTATTCAAACCAATAGATTTAAATCCTCTATTTTAATTTAAGAAAGTGCACCATTGCTAATGCATTTCCCACTTTCATGAGGAGGAAAGGTACTTGCCCTTTAGTGGGGAGAAGGTGAGAGGAGACTGGGTGCCACACAATATGATTAAGACTTGTTTGTCCTGTTTCTATCATTTATTAAAGGTACAAGTACTGAGATAATAATAGGGTGCAGTATTTCTTTAGTTATCTCTAGCCACCAGGCCTTCAAACTGGTCAATTAATTTTCTTTGTTGGTTTTATCATGTGCATTTCTCATTTCTCACTGGACTCAAAAAGACAGCTATCAGAAAAATTACCCACACAAATACTCCAAGAAAAAGATGTTACATGCATGCAAAAATTCAAAGAGCCAAAAAGAATTCTCAGATTGGCTGTATGTTAGTTTTACATAAGTAAGCTAACTGTTGCACTAGTAACTTATAATAATATAACTACTTAAGCCCACAATGAATGCATTCAACTCAAACATTATATTTCATCCATACTGTCTTGACTCTCACCTGATGGCTAAGTGATTTGAAGGTCTTGAGAGAAGATTGATTTGTAATTTTTTTTTCAGATCTTTTACTTCAAATTTTAACTTGAAAGTGGACAACTGATCGATTGTCATTCTCAATTAAAACCATGGATGTTAAATCTGTTCTTGATAGTTACATAACTGATAAAGTCTCAAATCTTAATGAGATTTCATTGGTGGTTCTTTAAGCTGCTTTGAACTTGCTCGTGATCTGTCCAAAGCAAACTTTTTGTTTATCTCTTCATGCAGATGTTTTACTAGAATGTGTTCTGGTGGATTTTAAACTATCATTCTAACCCTTTGCAAGCACATGTGAGCGCACATGTCTTTGTTGCACAACTGCCACACAGAACAACCTCTTCATATTGCAATTCATTCATAACACAAACAATTATTCTGATGAACTCTCTTCTACAAGATGAACGTCCAACCACACGTGACCCATCTCAGCTTAAACCCCTTGCTTTCCTTTTCCTTTCTTCCATAAGCAGGTCAAATTTCTGATGGACATACAAATGCAAGCCTTTGGTCATGTCTCCTCCATAATGTAATAATAATAATAATAATAATAAAAGTTTTAATTTCTCTTCTTCAATGTTAATGGACATTGTATTAAAAATTAAATGCAATTTGCTAATTCCAACATATAAGATGAATGACAAACATAAAACAAGTCTCACCAACATGTAGGAAAGCAGCAACATCACAGATCCTTAACAGATATTATGACGTGGCTTCAATAATTTGTCCTTTGCCATCATCATTTTTTAAATCTCAATAATCTGTAAAGATATAAAGCAGAGACTAGGTACAGTAGTTGTATTAAAAAGTGGCTAGATTATAGTAATGGAAAGGCTGAGAAAACTTATTCAGCATCAGTAGATTTTTTTTTAATGACAACTTCATGAAACATTTATTGAATTATGTATTCAATTGTGTATTCAATTTCATGAATTATGTAATTGAATACTGAATCATTGAACAAACTGAATGAAATAAACAAATATATTTAAATGTAATAGTGAAAAATAATGCTTTATGTACTGTACTATGATACCTACAGACAACCAGGATCTTTGGTCCTGTGGGTATCTGGAGATTAGCCTTCAGGTGTTGAAGACAGGTACCAGGTACGTACTGTATCCCCATGTTTGGTGGCTCACGTCTCAAGACCAGCCGAGCATTAAGATCTGATATTATCAGCAGTGTGTGCCAGTACTATTCAAAAGTAATATTTTTTCTTCCCCATGCATTTGGAGTCATAAACTAAACAGTATATTCAGTGGTATATTTATTTGGAACCACTGACCTTCATATCCCAGTTCTCAGTGTCTTCATATCTTTTCCTAGTGATGTATAGTCATACTGGCTTAGCACTTTCCCTTAGCACCTTACCTTAGCGATGTGTGCTTTCCGAGCTGCACACAACTGTACCACTGAACCTAAATTGTGGATGTTTTGCCAAGGCCTATATATAACATTTATGACAACGTAATAAACTAAAAGCATAAATGTGCATCTACTACACCTATGTAATATGCTGTTCATGGACCTGGCTGGATTTTGTATTGTCAAGACAAATTAAACCAGTTGTTTCAGGAAAAAATGTGCACTTGCTCCCAAGTTGTTGTCTAACACATTAATAAATTGTACATAGCTATGTTGCAATGGTTACATTGTAAAGTGAAATAAACCCACTTATAAATCGATTCTTGGACAATATTCTGTAATGCCTTGCAATGGCATGTGTTATTTGTTGAATTTAACAGAATTTTTTTGTATGTTGCATTGTAATCTGTATTTGTCAAAATTGTCAAGGTATGTGTGCCTAGGCCTTAAGAAGAGGCTGGCCGCTAATGGAATATCTCAAGGCTAAGAAGCTCCTGCCTCTCCTTACAAGACCAACACTACCGCCTGACACCTTGTGACCACAATCATGCACACTCGCACACAAAAGTCAAATTTTAACTTTCAAATACTTACTCGACCCTTGAAATATGAACATATTTTAGAGAAAACTCCCACATAAAAAGCAAATTACATTCAGGACATGAGGCAAATGTCCAGAGAGCAAGTGGGTAGGTGGGCCGAGGCAAGATTTGACAGTGCTCAAGTGTACACAAACTGGCCGAGCCACAACACTGTCCGCCCCTCGCCCTACACCCGGCTCACACACTCCCTCTTTACCCTCAACACAGCCTCCGCTTCAAACCCTAATCCAACACAATTAAAATATATTTTGTTAGATTTTTTTATATTTAACTAGCCAAGAGCGATATGGTACAGTTCCAGTCAGTGTACTAAGAGACAAAAGCCTATCTTTTCGCCACTGTGTGAAGCTAGTCTAGACGGGATGCGGAAGTGGGCCTAGGGTAAGGCCAGGTGTTACGTCATCAACCTTCACACGAAATTATTTCCGGGTATGAAATAATGGATAAAATTCAGGAGAATGTAGAAGAAAGTTCAAACATATATATTATTTGACTTATTACAGATACTACACAAGTATAGACATAATATTTGAATTTGTTTAGAGGGTCAGAAATCTATATATGTAGATGGAGACTTAGGTCTAGTTTCACCAAACTTTGCAGGGTGACTGGTGGGGTGTTGAGGCACTGTCATAGGGGGATTCGAATTCTGGGCAGGACAGAAATGTATTTACACGTTTCCATTTACCTAATGGAACTGTTCACCTAGCAGTAAATACATATCCAGGAGTTAGTCAACTATTGAGGGCTTTCATCCTGGGGAAGGTCGGTAGTTCAACCTTTGAGGGACCTCAATATAAGCCTAGTATGTAAACACAAGCTGCCAGTCCCCAACAAAACAAATTACGTTTCGGCCCCCATGCCCCAAAATAGTTAATGTATATGAAATGTTCGCCACCGAGTCAATAGAGTTTTATCATATGTTCTTCACATTAATCAGAGTCAATAAAGGGAACATAATGACAGATTTGCATTTTGGACACGCCCAACACTTTAATGGCACAACATTTATAGGAATTCTCCGCACGTTTTCGCCCATTGCCAAAATCGTGGGGAAACATCGGTGTTTTGCAGCCATAAGTTGTTGTTGTTGATTTAGGGGTGACGACGATCGCGGGATCGTATGCGCCCCGGCATACCCGTGAAGGGTTAATCGCGAAGCCTGGAAAGGGTGAATCGCCAAGTCTAACCGCGAAACGAGTGACGTCAATCAAAAACTAAATATGTCTCGCGGCTAAGAAACGCAAACAGCCAGATGATTGGGGCGCTCCAGGAGTCCCTCAGGGTGACAAGGACCGGTCCCGCCCCCACACAGAACACTGGGTAACAAAACCAAAAACTCTGCTAAAACGCAAAAATCATTCAGTGCCCTCCGGCAGAACAGAAACCAGCCGCCCACCACGACTGAGAGCCCACCAGTAGCCCAAGACCCACCAACTCCCGGCACCTCTCGGCCAAGCTGGCGCCGGAAACCGTCATCTTGCCGGGAGCACCAGGCAGAACACGTGGAAAACAATCTAAAACAATCCAGTGACCAAAGGCGATATATGCGCCAGACGTCGTACAAACCGGACCATTGAATAGTAATGCCAAACGGCAGTATCAAATCCAAATCACGAAAACAGAACATGATCCGGCGGCTCCCCAGGCAGAGGATATGTCCGCTCGTCGTCAAGATTGAACCAAGAGTCAGCATTCATGAGTTCCTCACGAAACAGTCTCCGTGGTGTAGTGGTAAGACACTCGCCTGGCGTTCCGCGAGCGCTATGTCATGGGTTCGTATCCTGGCCGGGGAGGATTTACTGGGCGCAATTCCTTAACTGTAGCCTCTGTTTAACGCAACAGTAAAATGTGTACTTGGATGAAAAAACGATTCTTCGCGGCAGGGGATCGTATTCCAGGGACCTGCCCGAAACGCTACGCGTACTAGTGGCTGTACAAGAATGTAACAACTCTTGTATATATCTCAAAAAAAAAAAAAAAAAAAAAACGTTTCTGGGTGATTAGTTGGAGTATTAATATACTTGATAGGTGGAGGGAGTCGAGTTGTGAGGGTTAAAACTTGGGAACATTTGACCTTGGGGGAAAACCTCAATACAAGATTTAAATTATGTATATATACTCACACGTGCCTATTCCTGACAAAATTAATTAATTTTCAACTGAATTTTTAAGTAAGACATAATATTCTTTAGTAAAGTTACTCCTAAATAATGCGGTTTGACTCGCGTTTTTAGTTTAGGAATTTCATAGAAAACTCTGTTGTTGGGTAAGCTAATATATTAATTTGAATTGCTGGTGCTCAGGGACTAAGCCCCAATGAGTTTTAGGGTTCAGTCCCTGAGCCCATTATGTTCCTCGATAACCTTTTCCACTACCTCCCACAGGATGGGTGGGTGCATAATAAATGAACTAAACTAAACAAGTGCCCGGCCTGTAATAGGGCCAGCATCTAGCGCACTCTGAGGTCCGGTGTTGGGTACTGACAAGTGTAGCCACTAGGAGCGTAGAGAGACTCCTAGTGTAAGTGTTTGGTGGATGCCTATTGTTTTGTTCCGAATGTGTTTACCTGAGTTTACATGAGAGCCACTAACACTAGTGGCCTCAACAAGGACAGGAAGCCGGCGGCTTGTCGAAGGGCCCCTCCCCCCATTTGCCTTGATATTTTCCAGCTGAACTTTAAAACCCAACAGTTTTGGCATTAACGGCTTCGGCGGGTAAGCGGTTCCATGGGGTTAATAACCCTGTTAGTGAAAAAACATCTGTTCTCAGTCCTACATTGTGTCTTGTTGAGCTTGAAACCGTTACTCCTTGTTTGTGTTACACCTAACCTTTTCAATAAATTTTCCGGATCAACATCCTCCAACTTATTCAGTATTTTAAACGTTACAATAAGATCCGCCCTGTCAGGCCTGTTGTTAGCCCTGTGGCCCTCAACCGTTCCTGATACGTGAGTTGATGTGCATATGGATACTAATTGTTATGTACAATCAAATTGTGCTTGTTTAATAAATACGAATAGTAAACAGCTTATAACTTCCTTCAGTTCCAGTGAGGTGAGCTCCAGCCGAATGGTAGACCTCTAAGTAGACTCCTCTTGCTGAATATAATATCCATATTATTTATGTGTATTTAATTTTAGAATACATTCACAAACTGGGTTCAGAAAGTTGCTGAAATACATGAGTGAGGTTGTGATCATTTGTGGGCGGTATCCGTGGTGTTAATGTGACTGTGTGTTGGAGTTTCCTGACACCTGACTGTCACAGCTCTGTGCACCACACAATGTGGCAATGGTGGTCACTGTAAGTATCCCGGGTTCAGTGTCCGTCCGGGATAGAAATGGTTTGCACGTTTTCCTCTCACGTAATGAAAGTTGACCTTGCAGTAAATAGGTTTGTTTGAGTGTCAGTCGACTCTTGTGGGTTACATCTTTGGTAAAGCCAATCTTAAGATCAATTGAAAAGTCTAAAACTTAATTTCCCCTGTCAGTGAGAAAGGAAAATTTAAACAGCAGCATATATGACAAGAAATAAAAGGTTGGAAGTCATTGTATTTGATGACCAACAGCTGGAAAGGTAGGGCCCGGGAACTGAATCTCGGTCATGCAAACTCTTAGGTAAGATCAAGCACACACACACACACACACACACCCTCCCACAATACCACTGATATCGTATTAGGGCAGAAAGGACTAATATGAAGAGTTAGGATATGTTTAGAACCGAGAACTGTATGTACGGACAGCACAAAACATCCATGAGACAGTGTGACATTGCAAGTTAGGCTGGGATATTGATTCTTACGGCAGGTGGCTACAGGTAATGAATCCTCCAATTGTGAACATTCCAATTATAAACTATGTGAACAAGAGCTGGGACACGCTCTCCATCACTATAGCTGTGATTGTGATTGTCTTGTTATCAATGGTTTGAGACTAAATGGTATGAGGTACTTCGAGCTCTGTAACTACTTCATACACTCACGAATATTTGAATATATTCTTGTTCTCAACCCAGAGGTTGCTAGTGCAGGCTAGTAGACTAAACTCGCATCTCATGTTTTCTCCTGATAACATGTATGATTAATCTTTTTGTGAGAGGGGGGAGATCAGATGGATTTAATATATTGCTAGTTCTTGATTTATACTCTGTAATTCCTCTTTCTGTCTGTCTGTCTGTCTGTCTGTCTGTCTGTCTGCCTGTCCGTCCGTCTCCTCTCCCTCTGTGTCATCACACAATGCTCCCCATCAAACACACTGACCCGTCCTAGCACCAGCAGGGTGTAGTTATCGCTCTGGGAGCCATGTTTACGTCCCACCGAATGTGTCACGCATCTTGCAAACATTTATTTTAAGAAGTTTAGTGACCCGATTTGTGTTCGAAATTGTCACGATACATCCAGACCAAACTAATTCACCGTAAAATAATTCCATCAGAGCCAACAAGTTAGTTTCGAAATTTGGGTTCAAATGAATTTGAAATATTATGTTGTCAACTTGGTTATAATGAGTGTCAAGCGTCATCACTGAGGAAGGTGATTAAACAAAGACAACACTTGGGTAAATAAAGCTATTATGATTAAATATTGAAGCCGTAGGATGGGACAGCACCCATATCTCACAAGGGGAGTCCCAGGACCCGGGTTCAATCTCATTATATGGCTCCAATATTTTCTCATTGCTATAAATTTCTTGCGATATTATTGTGAATACAATTATTATTATCTCTTCATAAGCAATTCAGTTCGATTAAAATTATGATGTGAAGAAATGTATAAGACTTAAAGTTGTACTGATGCGAATCTTCCCACTAACAAAGCTGGGATGGGGTGCAGGAACCTCCACCTGTCAGTATTATCGTCACAACAAATATTTACCTCACAAAACTAACTAGGTATATAGCTAAAAAACTAGGTAAAACTAGGTATATAGGTTTAACTAGGTAAAACTAGGTATATAAAGTCCGCCTCAGAAGATGTGTCGGACTGATTTTGGCAATAAACCAGGATTTATGATGGTGTTCCACAACTGAGGGGGAACGTGTATGCCTCGTATATCTATCGTAAAGTATATCAGGAGCATTCTGCACGACGGCTGGGTTATGGCGACGTCATTGTGTGTATGAGCGCAGGTCATAAAGCCTAGACGCGCCCCGGGTCGCCCTCCGCTCTGTATTCGT